GATCGACTCGACGTCATCTTAGGCCTCATCGGATAACTGTATAGCAAGGACACAGAAAACGTGTCGCCAAGCATAGAATGGGTTATACATTCAAGGGGCAGTCCGAATTCCAGCTTGCGGGGCGCAGCGCTGTTTGGTGCCAATTGCTGACAAGTCAAAAAGGGGTCGTTGTGAGACAAAGTCTCAACATTCCCGGACGCGGGAAGAGAGTCGCGATGAAATTAGGTTCTGAGTCAAGCCGGCCACCATTTATGGAGTTAACGGTTAGATGACCCGTAATGGTCCGATACGAAATTCTTTCTATAAAAAGTGACACTCTGTGTAACGATGAACCTCAGAGTTCACCAGAATATTCGAAGAACATTGAGATTGTGTACGTACTCAGTTATGTTGTGCGAGATGAGAAGGATACCGCTTCGTCCCGTGAGCTAAGTCTCGGCAAGGTCCTTCCGTGGTAGCTACGTTCTGGCTGTTGAGGGCGAATGTTTAGATGATCTAGTCCTCTGATAGATTTTGAATAGACATTCCTGTAACTCTGATCGATAATTCTCGTGATCGAAGGGAAAGAGAGACGGAATCTAAGCTACAGTAGAGCTTGAGGCAGAGTCTAGTTCAGGTGACGTTGAATGAAGCGCAAACGGGAAGCTATCGCCAGGTCACGTGTGGGGCGCCCGGATTCCTAAAGTGCAGGTTGGCGCCTGCACTGTGCGGCCTGGAAGTTTTGCAGGGATAGAGTGAGGCGCGTCGCCCCAAAATCTTCTGGAGCTTCAACCAAACCTGTCTAACACCAACCACACCCCCATCGCCAGCGCATAATCACGATCACGACGAAATCGCCGACATTCCTATCACATTGCACGCACACGATTGAATCGACACGCTAAGAATTGACCGCCGTCAACCGACGCCCCCGCCGCGAAGATGGTCCAGATCAGCGAGGTCAAGGGAAACAGTCGCGAGAACCGCACGGCTGCCCACACCCACATCAAGGGCCTGGGACTGAAGCAAGATGGAACCGCAGAGAAGCAGGCTGCTGGCTTCGTCGGTCAGACGACCGCAAGAGAGGTGCGTTGGATTTTCTGATGGTTTTGCCTCCATACATAAGCAGCGACTGACTTTGCGCGACAGGCAGCCGGTGTTGTAGTTGACCTCATCCGAGCGCACAAGATGGCCGGTCGCGGCGTCTTGCTGGCGGGAGGACCTGGCACAGGAAAGACGGCGCTCGCTCTCGCCATCAGCCAAGAGCTCGGAACCAAGATCCCCTTCTGCCCCATCGTCGGCAGCGAAATTTACTCGACAGAAGTGAAGAAGACCGAGATGCTGATGGAGAACTTCCGTCGTGCGATCGGCCTCAAGGTCCGGGAAACGAAGGAGGTATACGAGGGTGAGGTTACGGAGCTCACCCCTGAGGAGGCCGAGAACCCTCTGGGCGGATACGGCAAGACCATCAGCACACTCCTGATTGGCCTGAAGAGCGCAAAGGGCCAGAAGAAGCTCCGGTTAGACCCCAGCATATACGAGGCCATTCAGAAGGAGAGAGTGTCAGTGGGAGACGTCATTTACATCGAGGCGAACACGGGCGCCTGCAAGCGTGTGGGAAGATCAGATGCCTACGCGACCGAGTTCGACCTCGAAGCCGAGGAGTACGTCCCCATTCCCAAGGGCGAGGTGCACAAGAAGAAGGAAATTGTTCAGGATGTGACACTTCACGACCTCGACGTTGCCAACTCGCGGCCCCAGGGCGGCCAGGACATCATGAGCATGATGGGCCAGCTGATGAAGCCTAAGATGACCGAGATCACGGACAAGCTGCGTGGAGAGATCAACAAGGTGGTGAGCAAGTACATTGACCAGGGCGTCGCCGAGCTCGTGCCTGGTGTGCTTTTCATCGATGAGGTAAGCAAAAGCCCCTTTTGCCTGACGCGAACTGAGACCGGTGGATTAATCTTCAACAACAGGCACACATGCTCGATGTCGAGTGTTTCACTTACCTGAACCGGGCTCTGGAATCGCCCATTTCGCCGATTGTTGTGTTGGCGTCAAACAGAGGAATGGCCACGATTCGCGGCACGGATGACATTGTCGCGGCACACGGCATTCCGACAGACTTTTTGGCTCGCCTTCTCATCATTCCAACCACGCCGTACCAGTCCGATGAGATCAAGCGTATTGTTCGGATCAGGGCGACGACAGAGGGTGTGCCTATCACCGATGCCGCCCTGGACAAGATCGCGGAGCACGGCGTCCGGATCAGCTTGCGGTACTGCCTGCAGCTGTTGACACCCGCCAGGTGAGTAAACCACTGACTTCATAGCCTTTATTCCCACCGCTTTCCCTTGCTCTCCATGCGGTTTCCCCCCCTCTCTGTCGCGGATCTTGGATCAACCGGCTAGTGTGAGACATGTGGGCTAACCCCAATGAAAGCATTCTCTCCAAGGCAAACGGCCGCAGCCAAATCGACATCCAGGACGTGGCCGAGTGCGAAGACCTCTTTTTGGACTCGCGGCGCAGTGCCAGCCTCTTGAGCGGCGAAAGCGGCAAAGGATACATCTCGTAAGAGTTATGGGAGGCATCATGGTTGGCTGAATAACGAGAAGACGTCACGGCTCCCGACGGTTTCTTTCTCGAACGAAGGATGGCGGCGTTGTAAAAGAACTTGTCACATTTATCAAGACCAAAACAGGTAATCCACGGAGTTTGTGCGTGCGTGAGAGTGAGATGATAGTATTCTGTTGGAAGGGGGAGGGGCCGAGTCAGCTGTCTAGAAACAGTCTCTGGGATTCAACTGAACTGGAGGTGGTGAGGTTGGCAAACGAGTGTGGTTAGACGACATGACGCCTCGGAGCTGCGACCAAGGTATTGGTTCCTTTCACGTCTTTTCTCACCCTCGGCCTTGGCTGGGCGTCCTGAGGACTGAAGAAGAGAGCTCGCTCGCTGTTTGCAAAACAGTAATCATGCCGTCAAGTTGGCCAGATGAGGAAAAAATTAGAGCCGCCCATCCCGAAAGTTATAAGACATTTGCAGGCCGCGAACCAGAAAAACAAGACCTAACGAGAGACATCCACGCACCGCCAATGCCAATGCCGCATGCCCATCTAACCCCAACCAGAGGAGAAATGGCACTTGGCCCTCTTCCTTCACCGCGTCTTTTCTTCCCAGAGCTCCCGTACTGAACCCCAGTCCCCTTCCCATCCAACCACACTTTGCGCCCATCATCAGAGACAACACCAACGCCAAACACATTGTGTTCCGCCGATCAAATTTTAAATCCCCAATGCGCAACAAGTAGAAGAATGAAGCAGAGGAATTTGCTTAAGCACCTCACTGAGAGTCCTCCCCCCCTTTCCCTTCTTTCATCACGTGGATTGTGTCGAACCAACCTAGCCTAATTTCGGCCGGGGTAAGGAGGGGGACCTTCTTACATTGTCTTTGTTCCTTTACCGGGGCGGGCTTATGATTGAGCATTCCAGCTGTGGGGGGGTACAGCGCTGTCTGCTTCCTTTTCGCATTCATTCCTTTGGCGCCGTCTTTATTTCCTGGGCACTGTTCTCCTCCTGACCCTGACCACACCCACCTGAAGGGTCATTGTTTCTGACGTCCCACCAGTGCATTGGAGGGGAGGCTTCAGTCTGCAGTCGGTCTGCAGGTTTCTTTGAAGAGAGGGCTGGCCGAGGCAAGGAAGAGGAGGAGCACGGAGCGACGGAGCCAGTAGCGAACGGCAGAGACGGCGGCCGCTGCATTAGTAGCAGAGAGGGCATTGCATGTGGGAACAAATGTCTGGGTGGTCCGGGTTTGACTGAATTGCCGATGACATGAAAGGACTCCATGCCCAAAATAACATGGGGAATCAACGCTGCTTTGAGCTACAACACCTCCTCCCTCGTTATTCTTCCAACTGGAATAATCTCCTTTCCGGCCCAACGAGACTTGAGACTGGAGGGCGTGAATTCTTCAAAGTCGCGGGCCCCAAGTCGTGTTGTGTCTGACATTTTGGTTTTCCTTGTTCATCTATCCAATCCTCGCCCCGTCCTCCTTCGCTTTCTTCATCTTCAACCTCGGACTTGAGCCCGGTACCTGTCATTTACTTTGTTTCTGGAGCACGCGTGAGGGAGGTGTTTACCTCATCTGGGCTCCTTCGCTCTCCCATTCTATGCGAACGGAAAGTTGACAGAGGAAGAAGAAGACGGGGGCACTGGCTACCAGAGGGCAACAAACGTTTCGTCACAAAGGAGCCCAGTTCCTCATCTGCAATAACCTTGGGTGTCCGGTACATTCCCGAGACACATTTCTCCCACCCCCAAGACTGTCACTGTCCTCTCTCGCGTCCGGCTTCCCATTCTCACCTCCAGTCTGTTTCTTCGTTTCCGTTCGTCCTCTCCCTTTGCTTACCTCCCAGACGGTCCCTCTTCCGCCCCTTGGCAGCAATATACCTGTTCGTTGTTGGATATCTGTTCGTCACCACCGCCGCAACAGCACCACAGCGCCTTGCCATCCTCATGTCCTTTCCCCCCCATAATGGCAATCTCCCTCTTTGAGCATAAGGTCATTGAGCTGAACGGTCATTGTCTGCTCGATCTCTGCTGAAGGGGTAGCCGCCATCTCGAGATCACAAAGGAAAAAGGGTAAACCATCGGAGCGGACAATCGGCCCATGAGTAGAAGGGATCTCGGGAACGTCTCGTTCCAGTTCCTTCCTCGATATCTTGCTTCATCTGTCTCTCCTGCACCCCGAGCCTCTACAGTTCTCTCCGTTTGTCAATGTCCAACCTGGCCATTCTTGCCAACACACTTTCATATTTCAATTCTTAGCATCCCGTTGTGTGTCTCTCTCACCGTCTACAACAGACACGCCCCCCCGTCTTCCATCCGCTTCTTCAAACGCCCCCTCCGAAGCATGGTGTAAGTCCAAACGTCGCATAGCTCGACCGTCTCGCCCACCTTGTCGTCCTTTCCACCACACACCCGTTTGCACCTTCACTCAAGCCCCTACCAGCGTCCAAGATGACAGATGTGGTTTCTACTCCTCGACCACGGCGGTCAACTTCTTCCTCCGGGGGCAACTCTGCCCACTCGGTCATGGAACGAAGAGCCAGCGAGGAGACGGACGAAGGACCAGACTCTATAGGCTCTGCTGGCAGCCGCGGGAGCAGAAAGCGCGCCGCTTCCATCGACATTGAGGAAGCAAATAGCTCCAGAGGGAGAGAGTTCAGCTTGGAGACCGGACCGATGGGTAGCGAGGGAGGCAAGGACTACATTTGTCTCTGCACGCCTGCTCTCAAGGTCCCAAGACCTCGTAACGGTAAGTCCCACGCTCTTTTCTCTGCACTCGTCAAGTTTGGCCGGCGGTCTTCGTCGCAGACGTGGTCTGAGATGACCTCGATGGCCTCTCCTTTGTCGAATGATTCAAACATACAGCTGGACACTTGTGCAACTCCCGTTGGCTGACATCGTTCTTTGATAGCCTTCATCTTATACAGACAGCACCACCAAGCACAGGTTATTGCTCAGCACCCAGGTCTCTCCAACCCGGAGATATCCAAAATCATAGGAGAGCAGTGGAGGATACAGTCCGAGGACATCAAGGAAAGTTGGAAGAAACTCGCAGAAGAAGAGAAGATTCGACATCAACGACAATACCCGGACTACCGGTACCAACCTCGACGCGGTGGCAGACCAGGGAATCGGCCAGGCGTATCGTCTGGAGCCGATTCAGGTCGGTGTTCCAAGTGCGGAGGCAGATTCATCGCAACCCCAAGAACACCATCAACGCCGTTCGGAACGCCAACCGCGGCCAAATCTAACATGTCTCCCCATCATCCAAGAGAGGTCAGCGGCGGCGACAGTGACCATCACCGGCACACCTTGCCCGGCGCGAAACAACAGTACCAATTCCAAACCGGCAACTTGCGAGACGTGGAAGAAGAATACGAGTCCATGTCGCCGTCCCCCGAGCTCAAACGGCGCCGATTCAACGGAATGGGGCATTACCAAGCAGTCTCGTCGCCAGGGCCGTACACAGGCCACCCCTTGTCGAGGCAACCCAGATCCTCGCTGAGCATGCCTCCCACCCCGCCAGTAGCGGGTTACGGACCTCTGCCCGGTCCATCGGCACTTGCGAGGACTGGAAACATGGCGCCTCCTCCGCGGCCACATCATCCTGCGTACGCAGGACCGAGCCGCGGTCCCGGTTTCGACGAGAGTCTCCGCCTGCCGCCACTGCAAACTCAGACATCTCCGCCGCTCAATCGAGAAAACGACTCAAACGACCGCCCGAGCGCCCACCCTACTGCTGGTCTGGGCATCTCAAACCCGCGGGACAGCTATGCCCAAAGCCTTGAGGCCATGATCATGACGATTCCTTTTCTGAGCAAGCTTAAGGTGCTGCAAAAAATCAGCCCAACATTGGCACCGTCAGGGCCAAACAGCCCGGACATCGAGATTCGCGGAGCTGTCATTGCTGTCGAGGGAGCCGACCCTCGGCAACTGGAACAGGTGGGAACGGCGGTTCACCGATCCCTGCTTGGCCTGGGCGAAATCGATTTGAAAACGTGGAGCGACGGACCGAGCATGCCGGTGTCTGTGTTGTCAGCCGAGGAAGACACAATGATGAATGACACCGCGTCCGTTGGGAGCAGCAGGAAAAGCAGCCACTCGCAACCCAGCCTGCAGACCTCGGAGCTGTTCTCTAAGTATATGCAGACCATGATGAAGTGGCACGAGAAGTCGCGGGAGATTGTCAAGCACGTATCCACGAGACCGGTTTCTGGATCGGATGGACCGCCGCTCACGAGACGAGCATCCGACGGGGAGATTGTCGGATCCAGACATAGTTCGGTATCGGCGCCTGGCATCAGCAAGACGCCGATAGCCCTGCTTCCTGCGGGATTCAGCTTGTCCATCTCCGACAAGTTTGCTTGCATGATACCCATTGCCGATTCGTACGCCCCAGTCGACCACTGGCAGTGGATGTCGACCCTATGGAGGGGAATCATTGGACCAGACCTCGTCATCTACGTCAAGTCGGTGGCGGAGGACGAGGTCACTCGCGGAGGTGCCGTTGAGTTTAGAGGTCCCGGCGTGATGGTGGTCAGGATCGCGCACAGCAAGTCGCTGGACGAGAAGACTGAGCGACGCATCTCTTTTGAGGTGGTGGAATGGATTCGAGGCGGCAGTTACCAGGAGGGATTCGGACGAGGTTAGTGTGGCCATACCAGCGCACCTAATAATGCGACGATGTAGCGGGGTGATTGTTGGATTTCCATGTTTGCTCTGCATTGATGGGGTTAAGATAGCCTCTTGCTTTCTCCTAACATAGCGTAGGCGTAGATAAGGAAAACGTTGAGCACCTATGGTTTGAGCTGACTTCCAAATCGCTATTGTCTGCGCATATGAATGAATATGCCCCTCAAGCTTGATTTGCTGTGAATTTGAAAGCTTACTTTACCTCTATCGAAACTCTGTATGATAATTGAAGAGATGGGTCGCATCGAGTGTTTGAAGAATACATGCACGATGGTGCCAAACGACTGTTGTGCCGGGACAATAGGACAATGCCTCTGTGGTTCTTTGAAGTCGTTTGCTTTGTGTTGTGTAAATGCAGTTGACTACCTTGTTTGCACTAGAGCCGGGGTACGAAGTTATGCAGACTCGGAAGTTGTGCTTATGCTCATAGCGGTGGACCCTGAAATGCAAGGCACTCACAGGCCAATCAAACACAAGTTTCAATTGACATCACCCCCCCAGATGAACCCCCTTGTCAGAGTTAGTTGCAGGTGCTGCACCGCCGCAAGCTCCAAGCTCCAGCGCGTTTATCCGACTGGACGCGCTCCCAGCGGCCCCTAAGTGACATCTAAACACGACGTATCATCGAAGTACGCATCACACAACACCACCACCACAGAGCCTCGACGACTGGCCCAACGCCCACGACCACCGATAGCAACAACGAATATGGTTATATCCCAGTAAGAAACATAGTCGCGAATAATGTCGGACCTAGCAGTTGGCCAGACGGTGCGCCTGCCCGATGGCCGGTCCGGTATCGTGCGCTTTGTCGGCAACACGCACTTCGCCAGCGGCGATTGGGTGGGCGTCGAGCTCGAGGATGACAGCGGGAAAAACGATGGCAGCGTCCAGGGCGAGCGGTATTTCGACTGCTCCATGGGGCATGGTATGTTTGTGCGCCCGACGACGCTGGTCATCACCGCCCAGGCCCCCCGGCGGCAGCGAAGCCGGCTCGCAGGCCTAGTCGGCCGACCAGCTTCAATCCAGGCACGGGACGGACTGCCAGCGATGCGGGATTGACCAAGAGAATGAGCCTCAATGCTCCGAGTCCAAGTCCGGGTCCTAAGGCGGCTCGACCGCCGAGTATACTGAGGGTGAGTGCGCAGCCTGCTTGATTGTTGGGGGCAACGAGTAACAATGAGTGTTCAGTCACCGACCAAGTCACCAACAAAACAGCTCGGATCAGCAACTTCGAGTACTGCGCCATCACGAACTACGACGCCCTCGAACACTCGTACACCGGCCGTCGGGGCGAAGGCACGGCCAAGCGTTGGGGCATCTCGCACATCCATGGGCCCTCCCGCAATGCCCGCTTCCAGAACTACCCGGCAGCCCTCGACGTCTTCAGCACCGACAAGACCGACCCCAGGAAGACCCACGAGCGGTCGACTCTCAATGACTGGGCGGGCGACGACCTCTGCCAGACGGCCGTCTGCGGATTTGGGAGCTGGGAAGCAGGCAGCGGACAGTGGAGATGACGGTACAATGTCACCCAATAAAGATGGCGAAACTAGCCCTGTGAGAGCCAGAACAAAGGCTCTGGAGAAGCTCACATCGGGCTCGGCGGCAACTACACCCACGAGCTCCACTAAGCCAGCGACAACCGCCCGTTCTACGACAAACGCCGCCGCTGCGAACAGAGAGATAGAGGATCTGAAAGCCAAGCTTAAAGTGCTCGAGAGGAAGAGATTAGAAGACAGGGAGAAGTTGAAGCAGCTGGACCAGGTTCAAGGCGAGCGGGACAGATTCCAGTCAATTATAGAAAAGCTGCAGGCCAAGTATCAGCCTCAGCAGAGCGAGAACAATGAGTTGCGGAAACAGCTGAAGGAGGCCGAGGAGAGGTTCGAATCGATCGAGGCGATGCAGATGGAGCACGAAACTGCTCTGGAACTGGCGACACTGGACCGTGAGATGGCTGAGGAGACTGCCGAGGTTCTTAAGGTCGAACTCGAGGCCCTGAAGCAGAAGTCAGAAGAGCTCGAGCTCGAGGTCGAGATTCTCCGCGAGGAGAACGCGGAGTTCGGCCAGGGCATGTCGTCGGAAGAGCGTGCCAGTACCGGATGGCTGCAAATGGAGAGGACCAACGAGCGGCTTCGCGAGGCACTACTGCGGCTGCGTGACCTGACACAGCAGCAAGAGGAGGAACTGAAGGACCAGATTAAGACCCTGGAGGACGACCTGAAAGAGTTTGGCGCCGTCAAGGAGCAGTTTGATGTGGCGAAGGACAAGTTGGCCCAGTCTGAGGCAGCCGTTGAGGACCTCCGACAGCAGCTGGACAACGCTCTGGGTGCCGAGGACATGATTGAAGAACTCACTGAGCGGAACATGAGCATGTCTGAGCAGATTGAGGAACTCAAGGCCGTCATCGAGGATCTGGAGAATCTCAAGGAGATCAACGACGAACTGGAGATCAATCACGTCCAGAACGAAAAGGAGATGCAGGAGGAGCTCGACTTCAAGGATAGCGTCATCACTGAGCAGGCCCGACGGGCAGGCGAGCAGGAAGAGGCCTTGGAGGACATGGAGTACACTTTGTCCCGCTTCAGAGGCCTGGTCACCAGCCTGCAGAGCGACCTCGAGGACATGCGGGCGTCGCACGCTGTCACCGAGACCGAGTCCGAGCAGCTCAACAGCAAGTCCCGCGCCATGATGGACCTGAACATGAAGCTCCAGATCTCCGCTTCCAAGGCCCAAGTCAAGACCATTGACCTGGAGTTGCGACGACTGGAGGCTCAAGAAGCCGAGCAGCACCTGGAAATTGTCAAGATGTTCCTTCCCGACACTTACAAGGAGGACCAAGATTCTGTGCTCGCTCTGCTGAGATTCAGAAGGCTCGCTTTCAAGGCGGAGCTCCTGCAGTCATTTATCAAGGACCGCGTCAACGGCCAGCCTCACCCCGGCCACGAGGACGACATCTTCGCCGGTTGCGACGCCATTGATAAGCTCACGTGGGTCGCGTCCATGTGCGGACGGTTCACCAACGCCATCAGTCACTGCTCGATTGAGCAGTTCCAGCGGTTCCAGAACGCCCTGTTCGAGCTGGAGCCTGTAGAGCGGGCATTGAATGGATGGATCGACGGTTTGCGCCGGGACGAACTCAAGGAGCAAAAGTGCGCGGACGAACTCCAGCGCACGATCGCGCTCATGTCTCATCTTGCCGAGGTGCACCTAACCGACGAGCTGCCCGATTTCGCCGAGGACACTTACATGCAGACTGTTGTCATGCAGAGCCATTTGGACTCTGCCGGCTCCACGTTTGCTACCTTGAGAGCCATGGTCCAGAGAGCCGTGCCTGGCGAGTCCGAAGACGACGAGATGGCACAGCACTTCAGCAAGAAGTCGGAGTTTGTTGTCAACCAGACTCGGAGCGCCAAGGTCATCGCTGGCAAGGCCGTCCGAGCCCTGCAAGATCTCAAGTCCAGATCCTTGGCGCTGCCGCAGGAGACCAAGGAGTCTTTTGAGCAATGCCAGGATGCCACCCGCCAGCTTGCCGCTCTGGCCCGGGAGATTGGCTTCGACCTGCACACGCTTCTGCACGAGGAGGGCCGCAGCGAGGCTTACACGTACCGCGAAGTCCAGGACACCATTTCCAAGGCCACCACTAAGGTCACCATGTCGAGCGAGTCCGACCTCTTCTCTACGTACCTGTCGAGGCTCCGCACCCTCACCAGCCAGATCTCGGACTTGGCGGCACTCAGCGCGGACCTGTCCCAGACGCAAGAGTTCGAACTCAGCCCCGCCCCGTGGAAGCTCCGTTCCCAGGAGCTCAAGGCAATCAAGACGATTCCCGTCGACGCTGAGGAGGAGTTGCGCCGCCTTAAGGAGGAGCACAACGAGGCCCGCCGGGCGATTGCGCAGCGCGACGAGAACCTCAGCACGGCCAACCTCAAGATCGAGACGCTCGAGTCGCGGATGAAGGACGCTAACGCCAAGGCCTCCCGCATCGAGGACCTCGAGGCGCAGATCGAGGCTGCCAAGCAGAAGGCGGCCAGCCTCCAAGAGGACATTGACAAGCAGGACCGCGAGCTCAAGACGCTGGAGACGGACCGGGACAAGTGGAAGAAGATTGCGGGCGACAGCAAGGCGTTCGCCGACGGTGCCGGCGCGGCGGGCGCCAAGGCCGGGCAGGAGCGGGCGGTGGCGACGGCGCGCGAGATGGACGCCCTCAAGAGCGAGATCGCGAGCCTGCAGGCCGCCGTGCGGTACCTCCGCGAGGACAACCGGCGCGCGAGGACGACGGAGCAGCACAACTACGACTGGCTGGCGGAGCCGCTCACGAAGCCGCCGTCGGTTGTCGAGCAGCGCCGCGCACTCGTCGTCGCCGAGGGCAAGGACGTACTCAGCGAGCTGGTCAAGTTCACGACGTCGGCGCGGGTGTACGACCTCGCGGCGCTGCCCGAGGACAAGCTCGCGTGGAAGCCCGCGCGCAGTACGCCGCAGTACCACGCGGCCAAGCAGAGGGAGGACCTCGCGGCGTGGAAGAGCTGGCGGGACTCGGTGCTCAAGAAGTCGGAGGTGGTGCTGGGCCGCAAGGACGCGGCTGCGGTGGAGAGGCGGCAAATGATGAAGAACGTGGCGGCGAGGTTGCAGATCCGTCTGCCGGACGCGGACGGCAAGATGGTCCCGGGGGGCGGGCGGGACGTGCAGATTGTGGGATCGCGCGAGTGGGAGGGGATGCAGGGCCGCCTGGCGGCTATATGATTCTCATGCAAATGCGGACGAATGCCTCCGTGGTAGTAGGACTAGTTTGGTTGCTAGATACCCCCCATTCTTATTCCAGCAATCCGTATTTTCTCTTCTTCTTCTTCTTCTTCTTCTCCCTTCTTTCGAACCAGCCTTTTTGTACGTTTTGTACGGCGCTCTCTGTTTTTACGTGTTGTTCTTGCGCCTCCGTGATGTCGTCCATTCCGCCTGTTTGGATCTATATATATCTCCAAGGCATGCCAGTGTAACCCCCCTCCTTTTCCCCTTGGAAAAAAACCAACAAGTTTCAATTCTGCTGCTAGCCCACACACCCGTCCCCCCGAAGCTCTGTTCGTCATTGTGTCGAGGACAGCTCAAGCCTTGCCCTTGCCCTTCTTCTTCTTACCCGCCTTCTCCTCGCCGCCGCCGCCGCCGCCGCCAGCACCGCCGGCCTGCTGCATCAGGGCGGCCATCGGGTCCCCGCCGCCCTGCATCTCCTTCATCATGTCCTTGAACAGGTTCTCGCTGACGCCGCCGCCCGTCATGGCGGGGCTGATGTACGGCAGCAGGTCGCCCATCTTCCAGCCGCGCGGCACGGCGGGCCGCGGCCACGGCTTGCTCGGGTCCGGGGCGGGGGCGCCCTGCACGCGGGCCTTGAGGGCGGCGCTGTCCTCGGTCGTCGGGTTCTGCTGCAGGTGCTTGGCGACGAGGAGGTAGAGGTGGTGCTTGTTCTTGACCTCGGGCATGCCGTAGGGCCGCGGGCCGGGCGCGGCCTTGCCGCCGTCGCGGCCCTGGCCGGCCTCGCCGCCGAAGCGCAGGCGGATCTTGACGCGGCCCGGGTTCGCCCAGTCCTTGGGGTGGAACTTGGCGGGCTCGAAGAGCGTCGGCAGCCGCAGCGACGCGCAGGCGTTGACAATCTCGCGCGCAATGGGGTTCTCGACGGCCAGCGACTTGGGCACGCGGCGGCCCTCGGCGCGCGTGCGGCGCGCGTCAAAGTAGACCGGGTACAGGCACTGGAAGTCGGCGTACTGCTTCGGGTCGTTGGTGGTCTGGAACTCGGAGCCCGGGGCGCCGGGGCGCGGGGCGGCGGTTGAGGGGATGTTGGAGGGGTTGATCTGGGAGGCTCGGGCCGCCGCCGCTGCCGGTGCGGCCGAGGATTTGGGCTCGACGCGGCGCATAATGTCGTTGTCGGTGAAGTCGTCAATGTCGCCCTCGGAGGGGTCCGACGCCTCGAGGTCGCTGTCCTCGACCTCCTCTATGCGTGGGTGCGACATCGTGGGGGTGTGTGTGTGTGTGTGTGTGTCTTTGAAGAGGGGGACTCGGGTGGGTGTGCGTGGGCGACGACCGGTTGGAAAAGTGGATTGGCCGTGTGTCGACGTCGGGTGTCGCTTGTGGTAGGTCTCGTCGTCTGTGGGCGCACTCGACGTCGTTGTTGATGGTGGAGGTTGACGAACGTGGGACGTGAGGTGAGGATACAGTTGTCGATTGAGAGGCTCTACTAGTCCCCTCTGGGATTTTGGCAGATGTGTGTGGGGTTGGCAAACCAAGGTTCACATTCGTGGTGGGGTTGCCGAACGGTCGTGGCGGGGTCCACAGGGCCAGCCAGGGTTCAGCACAGCCTGGGCAGCTTGGAGCTCACAGCTTGACTAACCTCAAGAGCTCACGGCGGTAACTCATCAACACACAGCTTAGACGCCTCCATTGAGAGCGAGACAGACACCCATGGCTTGCTTAGTGAAACGCACTGGGATGCGCAGAAATCTCTGAGAGAAAAAAATTCAAATCAAAGTTTACAAAGCTAGTCCGACACGCCACGTCCCTTTTCGGTAGAGGCAGCGGGCAGTCTACATTTACACAACCTCCTTCTCGGAAGCAAACCCAGCTTCCTCCCGTGCATCATGCCATGCAAAGCAGACCAAGTACAGGCCTCTGTTCTGTGGGCCGCTCTGCCTGTCATTCGTATGCGCAAACGGCTTTCAAATATTCTCAATTCTCGTGAATTTTGGCGTTCTTAAACTTCGTGCCAGGGGGATGATCTGAAATTCGAAACTTGCAATATGGGTGCGTGCAGGTGTTGCCTGTAACGCTGGGACACTGTAAGGTTGGTTAGCACCGACTTCTCGTGCTTGTCAAGCGCAAACTTACGTGATGTCCATAGATGCAATTTTCTACGTCGCAGTCCTGACCGTTGGTGCAGGGGTTGAGGCGAGTCAACAAGGCAATGGCGTTGATCTCGTCGGGGTTGGGCTTGTACTTGTGCTCAAAACAGCACTCGTCGCCCTTGGCGCATGGTCCGCGGAGGTAGTGGTTATTGCAAAGCTTGTCCCTGCCGGTACGCTTCTTGATGTTATCGAGAGCCGGCTGGTTGATGGGAATGGGAGGGTCGAGTCCACGCTGGCCAGGGTTCCATGTCGGGGTCTGCAATTTTGGTTGCGAGGCCTGGGGCTTTGGCTGCGAGGCCTGGCGAGTTGGGATGTTGATGCTCTTGTTGGCTAATGGGGTGGTGATGACTGGCGGGGGCTCGCTTTGGCGGTGACTCCGGCCCAGGACGATGGGGCCGACGCTGGAGTTGACGAAGTGGCCGGCGAGGCGAGTGACACAGTCGGCGACGTGGTCACCACGGCCAATGGCTTGGGGTGGACTGCCTCGGCAGCGCGGTCGCCGCTTCGGTCAACAAGCTTTTGGTTTCTGAAAAGGCTGGGCAGCGGGTCGAGAATGTGGACGTTTGTGTTTTTGAGTTCTCTGACCGTTGCGACACCCTCGATGATGCTAACCTTCGAGCGGATTTCCTTATCTTGGAGGATCTCGTCGAGAAAGGGGGCATAGCCCGCATCGTGGGAAATGCCTAACAAAATCTGCCTGCAGTTGTAGTTTCGTAAATGCCAGCGGGTGGCCTCTGAAGCACAGTCAAGTTAGTCGTCGTCGCACAATCTAACGTTCAGAGGTGGCTGCTGCATGCTAGACGTGTGACCACGCAGTCACGATGCCAGCCCTCATGGACAACTGCTTACCTTTGATCTTCGAGTCGGCACGTTCCTTGCCGTGACCGACGTCAATAAAATCAAATGAAGCTTTGGCCTGAGTAAATCCCAAAGAGAAGTCCTTGAGCGCGGATTCGCTGTCCAAACAACCGTCTCTGCGCATGGCACGTCCGAGACCTGAAAGGTTGGCGCAAACTTTGGCGACGATTTCAACTTCACCCGACTGGCTGCCGACGTACTCGGCAACTGCGGTTCGAAGGGCGTAGGCAGCCTGCTTGCCGCCCTCAATGCCCTGCCTGATGAAATTTTCTTGAAACTGGTAAGGTAGGCCCCTCAAGTTAGTATCCTGTACAAGATGCAAAGGGGAATGAGGTGGGTGCATACAAGGAGGCCGTCGCCATCAATCAAAATCAGGACGTAGGGATTGCGGTTCTGCGAGATTCAGTCACTCCGAACACATGAAAACGAGCTACTGCGCAGCAGGCGTCTACCTTGATGTAGTTGTTATCCAAATCAAGCTCCTGCAGCGCCTGCTGCATCTCTCTCCTATGAGTGGTGGCGTGTTCGAGGTCGAGCTTTGCATTGCGAAGCTCCTGCTTGAGCATATGATTTTCCTCGCCATAGTGGCCCTCGACTTCTTTGCAGTATATCAAAAGGTCCTGCAGTAAAAGGAACGGATGGGGTTAGTCGGATGTAACTTTGATCGCAAGGTTTGTAAACCTTGTTCGGAGGGTCACTCTCGGTTGACAGGGACAACAGTTCGTCGCGTCTCTTGCATACGCACATGGGATGGACACGATGGGGTAGGAAAAGGGTATGCAGCCAAAACGCACTACAGCAGGGTAGCAACAAGAACAGCAGCAACATTAGCGACGCCAAAGGTCAGATGCCAAATGCCAGTCCATCGACACACCAGGTGCGACGACGTTGGCAAGGTGGGCTTGACAAGACGCCGGGGTAGACTTTGCCGCAGCATGCTGTGAAAACGGAGCTCCGGTCTCTCTGCAGACGGAGACAATGCAGACGCTGAAGCTTAAAAGAAGAAAAAAGGGTAAAGGGCGGACAAGGGGAGTGGGAAAAGCGGAAAGGAAAGCGGAACCCACCTTAATCAGCTGGTCGCTGGCATTTTGATAACCTTGCAACGTCTGATATCGGGTAACAAAGTCCATGATTTCGGTATTGTTCAAGGACATCTTAGTCGCTCCTGTCCTCTCCTTTGGTATGCCCGTTCCGATGGCCGAGGGGAAGGCGTTGCTGGGAGAAAACAGAAACGAGTTCAAAGGGGACTGGCTGCTGGTGCGAAGGTAAGGAGGAAGAACAGGGGCCGCGTTAGTGTTGGCATTGATGTTGTCCAGGTAGCTGTTGGAGCCAGAGGTGACCCTGGTCGTGGTATGGGTTGTGGTAGGCATTTTTTGGGTTGACTGGGCCGAGCTATTCGCTGGCTTAGGTAGAACAAACGATAGAAAGAGGGGGGGAGAGGATCGGGGAAAGAAAGGCGAGGCGAACACACGACTTTTCCCTGTGTGGTGTGTCGATGTGTGGGAAGTCGATTGGAGACTGAACGGCTGCAGTCTCTATTGGTGCTGAGGTGCAGGTGTGCGAGGGAGGACAAGGGACGCACAACGCAATAAAAATGAAGGAAGGTACGCGAAAGTACCGTGCCTGCGTCTTGTGCTTGTTGTGCTTGGTGTGTCGTCGTTGGAGTCGTGTCAGCCACAGTGAACCTGCTGCTTCTGTCGCCGCCGCCGCTGCTGTTGTTGTCGTTCCCGTCGAAAGTGCCTGACGAGCACGTAGCAGGTTTAGGTCGTTTTCTGCTGAAAGCTAGTGGTAGGTGAGAGGTGTAAAGGCAGATATCAATAAGACTTGGGCAAATGGTAGACGAATTGCGCCGGTAGGGTAGGTGCAACTGGGGAGCTGGGGGAAAAGTCTGTGGCTGTTCCCTTCATCAATGCCTCTGCGTGTATGTACTGCAATGCTGCTGCAGTATGGGGAAAAGTTGTGTCGAGAGACAAGATGAAATAAAGTGAGAGAGAGGGAGAAGCCACAGAGGGTGCAGCAAGGATGGGACAGCACCTGACCACCACAGCTCACTCTTTTCTCGATCGGCGATGGATAAGGGTCGATAGCTGGGCAGGGCTGGGCCTGGGGCCAGAACGAGGTTCAAGATTGTCGGGACAGGTGAAATGTACCTGAGCTAAGGTAGAGGAGGTAGGTGGGAATATGCAATGCGATGTTAAAAGCCTGGTGAGACAACTCGAGACAGGGCAGAGCAGAGCAGAGCAGAGCAGAGCGATAAATAATGATGTGTCGACGAGGTGTGACGGGGAGAGGTAGGTAGAATAGGCTCGCCTTTCCAAGGCCGAGACAAGACGGTCAATGAACGGTGGATGCTGGGAAATTAGAAAAGGGTAGCTCTCGATGATGATCCGCTGGTTTGGAACTTCTCGACTTTTGCTTTCCCCCCCCCTACAAAAAAAGAAGTGTTTGTCTTTCCGGTTTATATGTGGCAGGCCAGCCAAAGAGGAAAGCGCAGGTAGCCACCAGAGATCTGCACGGCGGACCAACGCAGCAGCAAACGGGGGGGTTTTTTTTTTTTGTTCAATAATGCCCGTTATCTGGTGTCTGTATGTCTGTCTTCCTGTCGGTCCTGATACCGGGGGAGTCCAACAAGTCGGAAAGCGGTGAAGCAGGATTCCCGGGAGACGGAAAACAGTGATGACGGGGGATGCAGGAGGAGAGCTTCTTGAATCAGTCTCTGGTCCGGTCAACCAAAAAAGAAGGGGGAAAAAGTCAGGGGAAAATTGCGGACAGAAAGAAAATGTGAAAAAGCAAGCGTCCAACAAGACGTTTGGCATGCCGCGACGTGTTGGCTGGCGTAAATTGATTTTTTGCTTCCCTTTCCGATACTGGGTCTCGTACCCCAGAAAAAAATTATCAAAGTGACAGAGAGAGAAAAAAAAAAAAGTCCACTGGTCGTCTAATGAGTCCGACCAATGCTTCAATGGATACAACACCAATCCCAGCTGGTGCCCTCCAGCTCAGGCACCCAAACGACGGAATACCCCTACACGATAGAAAAGCAAATGGGTTTATGGGATAACAAGAGACGTGTAAGGGTATATTTGGTCATGATTGCATTGTGCTTTTGAGGGCGTCCAGATGTGTGGCCTACCTACACCTCATCCTTATCCGTCACCCACTCACTTGAACCTTATCATGGTACGGAGCAACAGCAAATGTGCCTTTTTACGGGCATTTGGCGGCATGCGCAACACCGTGGAACCAACCGGTAAAGGTGCACCTTCCTTCCTCCTTCTCCCCCGGCGCTAAGTCCATACCGTCGACCCATATATCGAATAAAACCAGTCTGCGTCTGATTGGTCAATGTTGCGACCGGGGTGCCCTCCAGCGGTAAATCATGCGTGGGAACGTCTCCAACTTCAACCCACCAATGGATGCAGCCAATGGCACGACCTCAAACTCATGTACTCAGCCGCCGCCACGGCCGCGATTTCTGACTTTTGCAGCATCAATCTCACCTGCGACTCCCGAGAAAACTGCCTTGCCGTTTGCTGTCCATTCGTCCTTCCTTCTCCAATAGTCCTTGGGACTCTCGGCGTCAGGCGAGAGAGCCAGACTCAAACGTCCCAATTCGGCCTTTGTTACTGTCCGGTTCAAAGTTCTTTCCTCAGTCTTCCATAAAGGGGTGTTCAAACGGATGTCGGGTCGTACTGGTTTAGCAAGTTCCACACACTGTCATTCCCAAAATCCCCCTCAAACGTCGTCCCGGCCGCCGGCGGTGGCGGCGTTGCTGCTCCCCATGCTGGGAGGGATCCGTCCTCTGGTATTCCGTTAAGGTCGTGGTAGATGAGGTCTCCCATCGGAAATAGCGGTGCAATCGATGTGAAGTCCCAGCTATTTGGCAATGTCCACTCCGAGTGTGCTGATGGCAGCGGATACGCTGACGATGTGTCGGGAACTGTCGGCAGCGATGTCGGCGTCGCCACTGTGCTGCTTTTACTCGCTGGTGTGTCGGCCGTTGCCGCTGTCGCCGTCGAGACTGATCCGCGGGCAGATAGACTGCCGGTACTATCCGCCGTCGATGCCGGTGTCTGAGATGCCAAGCTCGACAGGCTTGGTGGCGGCGCCGGGTTTCCTACCGCCTTCTTGAACTTAGCAAAAATCGCCTGCAGGACACCTTTCGCTGCCTTCGCCAGAGGGTTCCTCTCCTGCATCGCTTCAAATCTCTCCGTAGTCCAGTGGAAGTGCTGCATAGCGCTGCCAGCCATCTCAAGGTTCTCCTTGGGAAACAGGATGTATATCGATGCCATGAGAACCACGGCATCAAAGCTGCCAAAGAATAGCGAGAAGCTAGACAAGATGGTTAGCTCAGCCCAGTTCCGTCGTTGGCAAGACTTACTTCCGCCACGAACCAGCATCGAGGCCCTGGAACGTGAGCATCTGGCGGTGAAGCATCTCGATACTGGCCTTGAGCGCTTCTGTTCGGCTCTTCTGTCGGTTGAAGATGTACGGCCGGTGCAGCGCCATCAAGTTGAACAGGTTCATCTGCGGTAGGTAGAACCGTACCGACTGCAGCCAGTAGCATGACGGGTCATCATCCCACTTCCTGTCTGGGTTCTCCAATCGGAAATACGCAGGCGTCGCTTCGTCCAAGTCCAGACACATTTGATGTACCCGGTCGACCTTGGAATAGTCTTTCGGACACGGACCGTCTTGTTCCAACTCCAGAATTTCCCGCATCGGGGCCACGAGCCTGAATGCCCAGATGCCCCTGGTCAACGGCGTCGGGGGGTCCTTCTCGTCATCCCGTGGCGCAACGGGGGTCTTACGGCGGTCCTTTGGCGGAGGTGTGTCGACGGGTAGACTTGGTGGACAAATGCGCCAGTCGATGCTGCCAGGACGCCCTAGCACGAGCGCACAGTGGATGTCCCTGGTTCCTGTCAGCCGAGTCATGTCTTTCCATCCTTGCTTCCCGACAGATTCTCACCATGTCATGAGAACCATGTACAACTTTCTTCGTCGCTGAATCAGCCACATGTTCTCGAGTATGTCACCGGTATCATCACTGTTCGGGGAGGGATCCAGGCTATCCCGGTGCATGCCAATCTCTTGCGCATCTCGAATGGCGCTGCCAATGGCATGCCACTGCGATCACTGTTAGCCTCGGCGACCTGTGGGCCGCGCACGGGGGCACTTACCGATTCCGTGACTTTAGCCATGTACTTGAGGAACGCCGCCCGAAGAAAATCGGCCTGGACCGTTGTGAGAGTGATCTGTCGTTTGCCCAACAGGGACAAAATGCCGACGCCGGACTCGCTATAGTCCGCCGCGAGATCCTCAAAGGTCATGTTGCCCGCATACTTAAGATGCTCATAGAACTCGTGGGACCCTTCCGGTAGGATCAGCAAGGCCGTCGCCAGAACCTGGAAGAGCAAAGCGGGAAACACCCTCAGATCAGGCGAGAGACCCTGCGGCCCAGAGTTGGAGAGCACATTGAAGGGTATGTTGTTCCACTCGGCAAACTGCTCCTTAAACAGGTCCTCCTCGAGGGCGTAGTACTGATGGTTGAACTCGCGGAAATACACATCAATGAGTTTCTCGATGTAGCCCTTGGCGGGCAGCTGTCTGATCAGAGACTTGTACCGCTCCTTCGTCGCGAACTGGTCCTCGATGTGCGCTGAGCCGCCGAGTTGCGACAGCGCCCCGTCGCCGTTTGCACTCTCAATCTTCCTCATCAGCCCGAGCGTAGAAGCACCGGCGTGGGAGTAGCCCCAGTTTGCGGCGGCGTTGGAGAGGCTCTGGACCTGGGTTGACTTTGCGCCTTCAGCCTCGGCCTTGCGATGTTCCTTGGCCGTGGGGGCGCCCGTCTCGTATTTGCAAGCATCTTGTTTGTTGCGCGACTTGCAGTTGGCGCATGGCAGGTCTCGGTCGCACTGCGCGAAAGCACGTCAGTTACCAATGGCGACGTCGATGGGAAGTGTTGTCGAGAGAGATAGGGCCACCCACCTTCTGCTTCCGACGATGGCATTCCGTGCAAGATATCACAACTCGTCTGCGCTTCTTTGGTGGCGGCCGGGCGTCTTGTGTCTGTTTCTGTGGCTGGTTTGGTGTTTGGGTCGGGCTCGGGTTCGAGTTCGAGTTGAGGCTTTCCCGCCCCGAGGGCGATTTCTCGGAGCTGTCACGCCGGTCGTCGGCCATGGTTGGCCGCGTTTGTATGATGACCTCTCTTTGGGTGCGGGTGGTGGTGGTGGTGAGGACGGGTATCGTATGTATGAATGGTCGTAATGTCGGGACTTTCTCTGTTCGTCGGCGCCACCAACTCGATGTTGATGGGATGGAATGGTCGGATATTCCGTTCGTGGGCGTGTGCCGATCGAATCCCCGCAGGCTCGGCACGCCGTTGATCGAGAATACGGTATACGGAGTGATCGCGCGCAAGACAGGCGCAACACCGAGAGGGAAAAGCGAAGAGAAAAGGGAAAAACCAGCAGTTTCGGGTACCGTCGCAATCCGTCGTGGGTTCGAGCGGCACGAATGGATGATTACGAAAGCAGAAAAGGTGGGAAGACCATCAAAGGGGGACCCACGATCGTCTCTTCTCGACAATGCCAGCCGAGTACGTTGGAGCCAACCTCACGGTGCACTGTGCAAGGAACAGCAGGGGCCGTAGCAAGAAATAGCAGCAAGCCAAAAAGCTGGGGAGACGAAGGAGTGAGGTGTGCGTATCCGAAAAACCGGATGTGTACCGGGGTCCCGGATACCCGTGGCAGGCAGGCGCTTTCCCACACTATTCCTACCTCACCTTGCCGCACCGGGCGTTGCGCTTCGCCACGGCAGAGTACTGTAGTGTAAGTGGCCGAGATCAATGGTGGGGCCGGGAGTTGTTTGGTCCGCCTTGGATGGAAGTGGTGGATATATCCCAGGAGCTTGGGTGTAGAACTTGGAAGAGAAGAGAGCTTGTCAAAGACTCTTCTAATCCCCATGTTACTACATGCAGCAAACTGGTAAACGGCTCCGGAATACACTTGCACATTTGAGACAAAGACGGCAGACGTCTCTGACGACACCGACGAGAGCGAACGGCCACCGGGTCCAAGGTGTCGCCGCAACAATGCTCCAATCTGAGCTAGCTGCTGTTTTATGGTTCGCCTACTTGCAGCTTCGAACCGCCTAAGCTTTTGGATTTGGCGCCTTTCCGCTGCTTCGTTGACATGGATGACCCTCTCTCGCCTTACTGGCGGCCTTGAACAGGCTGCCCAGCCGCCTTTTCGTCAGATTCAAGTACCTACCGATGCGGTCTCTTCTCCTACTACATCATGCTCTATGCAGGCCGTTGCAGGTCAAGGCGGGAGTCTACCGCAAGTGCCCGTGCCGTTCGCGCTGGCCTAGTCCAGAGGGACTACTTGACGAGAAGCGCCCTCCAAAGAACACTAGGAGAGGAAAGGGATACAGCCATGGAGGGGTAGGGCCGGCAGCCTGCCGACAGGGGGCACGGCGCGCCGAACGAGAAATACGACGTCCACGTATCGCACGGTCGTGGACTCGACAACCCCCAATGGCATTGCACCCTTCGGTGTCGTCTGGAAAATGCCAGGACGAAATGCGCGTGTACTGCTCCCCCGGCCGACGACGACCTTGCTCCTATACCTACCCCCTCCCAGTTCCCGTTGCTTCTCGAGCGCGTGGCAACGATGCAGTGCTAGACTCTAAATTCGCCATCTTGGGGGAAACAGCTGTCGGCGAGCTCGCAGCTCTGACCCCTCCCCCCCCTAAACTTCGAGGTACACTAGAAGGTCGGGATGGAGTGCGGAACATGCTGCATCCCGGGGAACCTTGTCCGCCAACCCCCGTCGGCTCAGATCGGAGTTGGCGACTTCTTGTCCTCGCTTGCTGGCTGTCCTGCCGCCCATGGTAGACCTGTAAGCCTAGTACTCTGTCGTCAGTAGCCAATGGTCGGTTAATCGTCAATGGCAGACGGCAAAGTGACGAATGAACACTCCGCGAGCCTCGCCCCTGTGCTGCCTTGCTCCGTCCTTTGCCCATGTCATACTTTACTCTACCATGCCTGGATGCCACATGCCACACGCCGTGTCGTTAGGAACCTGCTTTACCTTTATCTCGTCATAGCGCGGAGGACGATCAACGGCAAACCACGCACATAGTTTAGCTTCTGAATTGCCGATAGCCGACACCTGCACTGAGTAAGAACGAGCTACTCAGGGTGTCACATCCATCGATGAACCGCTGCCGCCCTTCTCGATGGATAGATGGAAGGACGTGTGCTCACGATCCAGAGGACTTGTAGTTGGACTGGAGATCGAGGCATTGGCAAAAGATGTAACAGAGACGGTCAATTCAGTGATATATCAACTGCGACTGTCCACTTTGTGTTTTGCATCCGTAGAACCTGATCAATATCAACGCCAGCCCCCCTTTTTGTTTTGAGCCCGTCCCGGATCACCTACCCCCGTCTAAGAGTCCGTCCTAGTGCCGAGTCCGATTCCCGTTTCTTCTACGACATAATATCATTGCAGACCCGAAAATGCGTCAACCTGCGGACGATAGTCGCCCGTACTGAACAGAAGACCCCAAAAAGCCCCCAACGTCGGTGCGGCCGGGGGAAAAAACAACAAGAATAAACACGCCTGGGTATTTGATTTGGGGGTGTGTGTGTGTGATGGAAGAGTCGCCTATGCTACTCGAGAGAGATACGCCTTCCAGGCCTTCCTGCGGTATCTCTCGGCCTCCGACTGAGGGTCACCCGCCTTCAAAATACCACGCCCGACAATGACGATGTCAGTACCGCAGAGCTCGACGAGCTTCTGGGGCGTGTTGTACTGCTGTCCCTTGCCGTCTCCCGCGACGCCGCCGTTCTCCTCGTCACCCTCCGGAGGCAGTTGGCAGCCAGGTGTCATGTGGATAAAATAATCTCCCGGCTCAGTGTTGAGGCTCTCCTGGGATACGAAGCCCATGACAAAGTTCTTGTTCTCCCTCGCGGCCTCGACGCAAGCCTGTGTGTACTCCTTGTTCATGAAGTTGCCGGCGCTCGACATCTGAGCCAGGATGAGAAGGCCGCGGTCCATAGGGGCCTCCTCAATACCTGCGTACAGGACCTCTTCGGAGCTGTGGGACTCGTTTCTCGGGAAGCGAGGAGAGGGAGCCGGCTCGAAGTGTTGGGTCAACGTCGTGATGGACACGATGCTACCCTTGCGTCCGTTGATGTCGGATGGCCGCGGCGTACCGATTGTGTGCTCGTGACCATCTCCATTGTCCTCCTCGTAGTCGTCGAAACTCTCCGACCTCGGCGTTCCGACCGTAACCGATGTTTTCACTTCGTAGGGGTACCGTTCACGCCAGCGTGCTGCGGCCTCGGCGAGAGCTGTGACGGCAGCCTTGCCCGGTACCATGTTGACGTTGGTAATGTGGGCCCATTCGATGATCCGTGCCGAACCAGCAACGTATTGCATCTGGACCGTGTTGCCAATGTCGCCAAACTTGCGGTCCTCGAAAATGAGGAAGCCGTGTTTGCGAGCTATCGCGGCAAGCTTGGCCCCAGTGCCCGTCTGCGGATTGTAGTCCCATCCGGCGACAATATCGTGGTGCGTCTTCAGTACCACGATGGACGGCCCGACCTTGTCGGCCAGGTAGAGCAGTTCTCTCGCTGTCGGAACGTCGGCGCTGAGGCACAGGTTGGACGCCTTTAGATCCATCAAGCGAAGTAGATAGGCCGTAAGTGGGTGGCTGGCCGATTCGGCGCGACTAGCGAAAGTCGCCTTCAACGTACCGTGAGAAGTCATCCTAGCAGATGTCCCCAGTACTGGAGCGCGCCTGCCAACTGTACGCGGAGGATGTTTATGAGTTCGTGTAGCAATTGAGAGAGTCCACAAGAAGGCCCAGCAGTGAAGCTTTGAAATGCAAGGCTGTGAAGTATCTGTCCGTTTAGCTTTACCGAGGTCGATGGGGGTGAGCCACCGAGACGGATGGGGTGGGTTGTGTTGTGGCGAGACGGTTGCGAGAGCGCGAAAAGGGTTTTTGTACAAGCACAACAGCGGACGGTCACAATGGTTCAGAGCCGCGCGTGTCGTTGTCGTTATCGTTGTCGTTGTCGTTGTCGTGTCGGGCCGGACTTGGGTCTGAGTGTGCTTGACCGACGTGGGCGTGACGTGATTCAGAGGTAGACAAACCTCATCTAGTAGATGAAGACAGGAAAGGGGAAGGGGAGCGAAAGGGAGAATCGAAAAAGCTAGGTGGGCTGGACTTTTTAGTGAAGACTAAAACAGATAATAAGTTACTGAGCCCAATTTGTGCAATGACTGTGGGGGTGCGCTTAAGATTACATAGAGGTACGGAGTACTACGAGCGGCCGACTGATTGAAAAATTGACGAGGGGGGGATGAGGGGTTCTTGCTCTTCACGCCTCGTTCTACGAGGGGATTGGAGGGAAGGCACAGAGAGAGGAGAGGGGTAAGGGGTTTCGGGGCAAAATAACAAGAGGGACTAACAATGTGTGCATGGATCAAATGCTCTGTTCAATGAAAAGAGGAGAGAGGCTTATTGTCGACGAGCACGGTTAAAGGGGAATGAAAGGAGAGCCAAGAGAGCAAATAGTCCCTTGGGGCTTGGTCATAATTCCGCGGGTTGTGCGTCCGAGGGATCCTCCGTCCTATTTTTTCCCAACTCAAAGCTTCCTGCCCCTTTTCCTGTGATTCCTCTTTCTCGGAATTTCAATTTCTCGTTTGCTTATGCCGTCGTTCGTTCAAGGAGAAGTCTTTGCCAGCTTCTCGCTGCTGCTTCAGTGCTCTTCCGTCGGGGATATTATATAATCGGGGTCAGGCTGGCCGGGGACACCGCCGTTCTTGGCCGAGATGGACGATCCCGACACCTTCGATTCGATCTAAAGTACCCTGGATCGACTACAAGAATGTTGGTGTGGGCTAGTTGGTGGTGTACGAATAGGAGGTATGCCGACCTTCCATGTGGCATCCCGGCAAACAGTCCAGTCCATGCCGCCGCCAATGCCAACCTAAGAGACTTACTTCTTCCAGGCAGGCGGATGGGCTTTGTCGCCGACGAGCAGTCAAGCGACGATTCAATTCATAGCCGACCTCAGCTCACATCACCTCACCGTGGCGTCGCGGCCAGTTGAGAGGCCGCCGGACGACAGATCCAGCGCCGAATCGTGCCTTGGTAAACCAACCTGAAAAAGCCCGAGTCGCGGCTTCATCCCTTGTTGACGGTAAAATGCCTGAGTCGATCTCCAAAGGCAAAGGGACGTGGGCAACCAGATGAGATAGGCTCGAACCCACCCTTCTGCACCTTCTGGAACCAGACCAGACGTCCGCCAAAAGTATTTTTTCTCTCGCCGTCCAGACCCTGCAAATGTGACGTGTAGCCCTGCGGACATGGGTTTTTTTTTGATTGCCGTCAATAAACTGGCCGACCGCAGCAACCGCCAACTGCGCAGTTCATTGCAGTTCGCAGCTAGCGTTGCACAGCATACACCACAGAGCGACCACACCAACCCTGAGTCTGTGTGTGTCTTGCTTTGCATCAACAAGTGGCATGGCGAATCGCATCTGTCGTATGGTCGGCTCGTTGCAAAATGTGAAAGAAGTCCAGCATACGCCGAAAGTTGATAGGATTTGTGCGAAAATATGCTCAGGCACGAAACAGCCATCACGACTTTGCCACAGATGGTCGGACTCAATTGCCAGTGCATCGACGATGAGAGACAGAGGCCGGCCGAGTTCGATTGTCGTGACCCAGAAACTGGGCAACTGGCCCCCTGTGTTTGACCGCGGCCATCAAAACTCGACACCGGATGCGGCAACAATATGTCTTGTGCGGTGTGGCCGCTGCCTCCAGAACCACAAAACGGCGAAGGCTGCGGGCCAGAATGTGTAGGCGTCACGCATCCATGACTCTGTCGGCCTATCAACTCGGGGCGGTTGGGAAATATCGTGCCATGCCCCTGGGTCTTAGTTCCACCCAGTAAGGCAGTATCGTGCCATTTCATGAGGAAGAGACGGGAAGTCCAATGAACCGAAGAACGGTGTGTTTTCTTCCCCGCAGCCATGCTACCCTTTGTTAGAGCCCTGGGTCTCGCTTCTTTCCCACATTTGACAGCCCAACGACTTCCACCGACGGCAGCAAAAAGGGGCGAAGGGCCCGTAGGGATTATGGACACATCTCGAAATCGTTGAAAAGCTCCAAGTTGTCCCAAGCGCGTGGCCTCGCGATGCAAACCAAATCCCATCCGGGAGAGCATCAGGTGTAACTGAATGAGCGTCACAATCGCCTGTGGTATTCAATAAACCACGCCCGTGTCCCACTCTGGGAAGCGACGCACTCGGGCTTCTGCCACCGGTAGTTGTGGAAGGCTGTCATGAGCTGTAAGGTTGTGTATCATAGCTCTCCGCCAGATATCAAGCCGAGGTCACTTCCGTTTGGGTCTGATTTTGTAAAGTCTAGACGAGCACACGGTCCGTCAACGCCCCCAAGCGAGAGTCAACCTTGACAGACACGCCTTCTTCACAAGCTTGACGACTTGCGTGACAGCGCCAGTCCGTGACTGTCTAGTCATTCTGACGAGAACCAAAGCTGGACTAGAGAAGCACTGTGGCCTCGTGCGCAACTGTCGGTCTTTGATAAAAGATATGCCTCTCCGCTCGAGCGTGGTTTCAGCGAATTGCTTGCGCGGCGTCCGTGTCTGTTGCTGAGCAGTGGGATTGAGTATTTGTCGAATGTCAAGCGATGAACGGAATCGAGTGCGGGGTACTATTCGAGAACTACCAAGGCGGGGTTATTGGAGGTCTGCTTATCGCCAGACGAGAAGGTGCTCGAGATAAGTGTGAGCGGCCATGTTGAGCAGACAGGGAACCAGTTCCGAGGTTGACGGGCTATCTCGAGCACATGACGTGTAGTCGAGATAACCAAACCCGGGACATGCTGACTTGCTGGCATCGGGTTGCAGAAACATTGCACGCCGTGGGTAACGTCTGCTTTCAAGTCTGAGGTTGTGTTGTGGTCGCCTTGAGTTGGTGTTATCCTCATGCCGTTGATATCAGAATAGCAGCGGCGAAAGGGCCTAGAGGAGCGTTGGCTGGAGCACCAAGCTGGCCATCATTACCTCCCGACCGTTTATCTCAGCCGAAAAGCAGTGGTTGAGTACACGATAACGCCTGACACGAGAGAAGTGACGATGGAGCAATGACAATTGATAGGAGACACATCTTGTTGGGTTACCTACTGACTTTGGCTCTTTCCTATTTGTGCATTGGATGCTAATGCAAGGTAGCAGCGGATTGCAGAGGTGTCTTATCTCTTATCGCCCTTATCATTGCTTATCCAAGAACCCGCTTCCTGGGCCCTGCGGCGCACGCTTAGGTAGGTCGAAGCCGACAGCAAGGGCCCAGCGCCATCAAACCCCCTGTCAAAAATCCACTAAAAGGGCAGTTTGTGTCGAGAGAGCGTGTGTCCACTGCAGATCCGGGCCGCATATGAGGTACGTAAGACTGCCCGAATAGCTAGCAAGTCGCTGCGGGTGCTACGTAAGGTCGGCCAAGGCACGACTGGATCAAGTATACTAGGTATGTACCCATCGCGGTCGCTTCGTACCCTCGCCGTACTTGGCCGTAGAACCAAAGAGAAGGAAATACTTTACGTAGCCGTTGGTCACTTTACGGGTTATTGGGAGAGGCAGCAAGGCCAAGCACGATGCGGATAGCGCCGCCGTAATTAATCGGGCTGCCGGCCCCAAGTAATCTACCCAAGCACAGGCGATATACTGGTAGCGCGTACGGCATCCATCTCATTGAGGTAAGGTAAGCTAGGCGAAGGTACTCCAGCATTTTCAACCGACAACTCCGTCTCGTCCGATCCCACATCAGCACTGGCATCTTCTCTCTGTATCGGCTACTACTGCTCGCACACCTTTTCTCAGGCTTCAGCTGCCAAGTCATCCAACGCGCGTCGCCTCTCTTCAACATTTCTGTTCTCCTTTGCGCCAAACGGCCTCCGCTATCGACAACCCATCTGCTAAAAGTTGGCAATCTTGTTCTCATCTGCATCCCTTGCTTTCGGAAACGAATCCTGTCACTAGGAGCCACTTATCGATCATCCGTGCAACCTCCACTGCAACACCGGCTGCCTCGGTCACCTCGTCCACGCTTTTTGAAAGCTCTTCACGCCCCATACTTCGACACTTCAACGTCTTTCATCTGCTGAGACTCGTCGTATAGCATCCCATCACCATGTCGGCACGACAAACGAGGCGCCAGGCCGCCCAGGCCGCTGCTGGCGAATTGCCCAAGGTTGCCAGCGAAGAACCCGCCCAACAGGTTGCGATGAATGGAAATAGCAACGAAGCTTCTTTGACGGAAGCCTCGGACGGTGGCCCTAAGGAGAACATCTTTCTGTTCTGGCCCAACATCATCGGTATGGTTTTTTGCTGAACTGAGAGGTTTTCAATACGTCGCTAACCAGCACGTGTTATCACAGGCTACTTCCGCATCGTCCTCGCCATCGCCTCCCTCTACTACATGCCCCTCCATCCGCGAACCTGCTCTCTGCTATACAGCGTATCCTGCCTTCTGGATGCCCTCGATGGATACGCTGCGCGCGCGTTTGAACAATCGACTCGCTTCGGCGCCGTGCTGGATATGGTTACGGATAGATGCACAACCTCGTGCTTGCTGGTTTTCTTGTCCTGCGCGTTTCCTCGTTGGACCATCGTTTTCCAGATGCTGCTGTCGCTCGACTTCTCCAGCCACTACATCCACATGTACACCACACTCTCCATGGCGGGCTCTGACAGCAGCCACAAGAACATCGACGAGAGCCGCAGCAAGATCCTCTATTTATACTACACCAACAAGGTTTGCGATGCTACAGAACCCCTTCCCGTTGTACGCTTGCTGATCATTTCCCCCAGACCGTTCTCTTCGTCGTCTGCGCCCTGAACGAGCTCTTCTTCATCGCCCTTTACTTACTGAGCTTCTCGTCCCCGCTGCTTTCGCCGTCTCTCCTCAGTTCCGTGTCCAACTCGGAGGCTATGCAGATCCAGGCGGGCGCCCAAGTCAACACGTCTCTTCTGAGCCACATCTTTCCGAACCCCTATAGCGCTGCCGCTCTCGAGCTTGCCCGCGCGAACAAAATGGACTCAACTTGGCCGTGGATTCTTGCTTCCATCAGCTGCCCTGTCATGTTGATTAAGCAAGGCATCAATGTCGTACAGCTCGTCAACGCGAGCAAGTGGCTGGCCGAGGGCGATGTCGCCGCGAGACGGGCGAAGGGCTGCCCAAGAAGAAGACCAAGAGCACCTAGAAGCACCACAAAATGGTGCTAGATGCGGGTGCACCGCTGATCGTGGCATACCATGTCAATCACCTAGGAATCTTCTTGAACAAGACGGAGTTTGCAACGCAGCGATGTGACCCAGAGAGCCGGACGACCTGGCAACAGCGTCAAACCGGTGGCCGGAGGGCATGCCCCCGTCGGCAGGGCAGATGTAAACGGCCAGGCGAGGAGAAAAGCCGACCGTACGTACGAATGCGTGCAGTTACATCACTACAGTGGAAGGGCGGGGAATGACGAGAGTGGGGGGAGGGCTTTCTTTGTCAGGCTGGGGGGACTCGGAATATAACGACACCAGTTGCTACGATAGCAATTGCCCGGCTAGGAAGGCTGAGGACAACCAATGGGGAAGGAGGTGATCGACCGAGTGTCAGGTTCAGGAGTCAGGAGTTTGTCGTTTTATTTACTCGATTTCTTTCATACATTAGACTAATTGATGATTCATCTATCCAAGACTCGGGCTGAGTGGCGCAACACATTCTGACCAGTCCAGTGGTGTATCGCGCAGCTCCAGGGGTGGAAACCGTCCGGAGGCTCCAAATTCTCACTAGAGAGTTCGTGGAGCCGAAGCAGGCTGTACAGGCTGTTTGGAGTATGTTGAGCCCACAGGTTCCTTCCCCAGGTGACAATCTCTCCGAATGTCAGTTGAACGATGACCGTCAAGTCCGAGCGGCACCCGACCCGCCGGACACGGCTCCGACCATGACTGGTTCTTTCTGCTGAGCATCGCCGGTGTGTGCCACCGTCGCGGCCGTACCCGACGCCGAACCCGCGTATCGGGCCCCGGAAGGACCGTCCTCTGTCTTGGCCAGACCGTACCATGCCACAACGAGAACCCCGAGGATGCCTGTCACGCAGCTAAAGACGAGGGCCACGATTCCCCGTGCGGTAAACCTAGTTTGTCATGTGTCAGCGCATGTTGACGAGGAGAAAAGGGGGCGGTGCTGGAAGCGCCTTGAAGGTGGATTGGGAACAGCATACCCATCAGGAAGACGCCCCGGCGGTGCGTTCTGCCCGCTCAGGTCCAGGAAGTCCTTGGTGTTCCCTGCCGCGTTGCCGGTGGTCGGGACGTTGGCTGCCGCGCAGACGTCTAGGTGGCTCTGGGGGATGGACAGCGTCTTTTGGAGGTCCAGCGGCGCCTCGACAAAGGTGGCCAGTAGGCCTGATGTTACGTGCCATTCGATGTGGCAGTGGAAAAGCCAGACGCCTGTGTGCCAAGACGTTTGTTAGCCTCGGGTTGTCAAAGTGGACAACGTCGACGGTACAGGGGATAAAATAAAAAAAGACTTACCCGGGTTGTTCGCCCGGAAGCGCAAAACAATGTTTCCGTTCGGCCACACAACGAGCGTATCGCGCCGCATGGGCATGGCGGGGAAGTCGGCCTCGGTGACGTTGGCGTCGGCGAAGGTGCCGCCCTCCTCGGGCGCGCGGTACAGGGCCTGGAAGTCGTGGCCGTGCAGGTGGAAGGGGTGGCGGCCCGAGTCGAGGTTGTTGACGACGATCTGGACGACGTCGCCGCGCTCGAGGACGAAGCTGTGCGTGTAGTCGCCGTAGACCTCCGGGCTCGTGGCGGCGGCGTCGCCGGCGGAGAGGGCGGTATAAAGGGTCGGGACCTTGGGGGCCTTGTAGGTGATGTTGTTGAAGAAGGCGTAGTTTGCGCCGTCGCCGAGGTTGTCCATGATCACGTCCAGCTCGACGGTCCGCGAGGGCTCGGGAAGGAGGGGCTGTTTGTCGTAAGGAGTGAGGGTCATGTCGTCGAACGGGTCAAAGGTGTCAAGTGTTGCCGGCGGGCTGAGGGGCTTCGAGGCGTCGTAGACGAGCCAGCCTGTGACGTTGTAATTGAGGTCTGCGGGGAGCGTGTCGAAAAGGGTCTGCTCCTGTTAGTCAAGGGCAGGGCACGAAGAGGGTTGGCTTGGGTGCGGCTTACGGTGTCCATGCTGCCGACAATCGCAAAGTTGGACGTGGTGTCGTTCCGGGTCTTGACTAGGAAGCTATACCTCTGAGCGGCGGAGATGTAGATCATGCTCGCCTCCGCCGGCTCCGTGTAGACGCCGTCGACCTCGACGATGGAGATGTTGTGGCCCTCGATCCAGACGTACTGGCCGGCGAAGGCGGCCATGTTGACCATACGGAAGAGATACGTCTTGCCGGGCTGGACGGATACTGTGAGGTTCTGCGTGTCGTTCATGAGGGCGGCCTGCGGGACGGGCTCGGCGCCGGTGGGGTTGCCCTTATTTATGAAGCCCGGGATGAGGTTGGCCATCTGGTCATGGTACCAGTCAGATAGGGAGACGACAACCTCTTCGTCGTACTGGTCCTTGAACGGGGAGCTTGGGTCGTGGATGATGAGGGCGCCCTGAGACCATCTGGATACTGGCTTTGGGTGTGGGAGTGGTACCAATACGTCCCTGGCTGGTTGATCTATACAATGTTAGAGAAGCTCTGCATTACTCTTCTCCCATCTCGTCTTTGTAGCTGCTGCTCACAGTGAAGTTGTACGTGAATGACGAGCCCGGCGGGATGGCGCACTGGCTGACTTGCGCCGGTCCGTCCATGTGAGTCGTGCCATTCATGTACAAGCCGTGGAAGTGAAGGGACGTCGATTGGTTCCCCAGGTCATTGTGGACGTTGATGAGAACGGTGTCCCCGACATTGGCATCAATGCGAGGAATCGGCCATTGCCCATTGATGCCAATGGCTGGGCGGTCAAAGGCGCCATCTGGGTTCGCCGTTACCCAGCCGATGTTGAAGTCGTGCGAGACCGTGGCGGCGTAGGCGGTCCTCGCGAGGGCGGCGATGAGAGCCAGGAGGAATGTATTGCCTGCCATTGTTGTGCGGCCCATGGTGGATTTGGAGAAGACAGCCAGAGGAAGAAGAGTCTCTGGGTGGCACGACCACGACTTTGTGTATCCTGTCAGATATCGGCTGGCCCACGAGACGAAAAGTGCCTTAGCGAGGACTACAGTCGAGGGAAATGAACCTCTACAAACTTTGGTGCACTTGATCAAACGGCAACTTCTAGCGAGGGCGCCATGCTCGCCACGCTCGCTGGGGTGACCTTCTCCCCATCCGTAACAACAACCCCCCAACCCCCAAGTCATCTTATCAATCTGATCTCCTCATAGCCCGACACACCTCCCGTTCCAGCTCTTAGGTAGGACCGGAGAGGGATGGGCTAATTTAGTCCAAGGTATAGCATCTTATCAGATGCAACGAAAGCAAGCCGGCGCTGCCACTAGCGCAATTTCAGTCAAACATGGCTTGACGCCCTCCTCTCGCAGGATGTTTGTCCTCCCACACTACTTGAACCGAGGAAAACCTTGGCCACCAGACTCATTCGCCCGCCGGATTCTCGGCATCAGTGATGACAGTAAGGGAGAGAGGGAGCGGGGGCGCTTCTGCGTTGGAGATCAGATAACCGGGGTCCCCTACACGCTACACCCAAGAAAAAGCTTGTCTCTCCACGCTAATGTAGCCCGGGTCTCGCCTAGCCATCTCCAAAGGTTCCAAGGTGGGCAAAATATGGCCTGTTCAAAGGGAGGGTCGTGCAAGAGTGGGAGCATGGGCTCGACCTTTTGCCCGCCGGTACCAATGGTTTTTGGGTGTTTCCTCTTCGGGGGTTGCCAGCAGTCCTTGCTCAACGGGGTGTCTTTGAAGACTCGAGATGAACGCCTCACGGATCATACTCTGGCTGTTGAGATCTCGAGGACGTGGCCGAAGTTGTTCTGTTCCTATATCGTATTCCTGGGGGGGGGGGGGGGGGGGGGGGGGGGGGGACAAGATTGCCTTAAAAGCTTGATGGGAGCTAAGAAAGCCCGACGGGATGGTTCTCTGTAAAGGTTGCTTCCAAATCCCTCAACCCACTAGATGGATCAGCGGCGATCACAGTAATGTCGAGGGAGCTCCGCCATCGTCGAAGCGAAGCAACTAGGTGACAATATTACGAGTAATGGTCCCAATCTGCAGAACAAGGTGGTTCGACGGGGTCCGTATGAGTCCACCTTGGCGCGACCACGAAGACTGGAACGCGACGGCGGCTTGTCTTCAGTGTTTCTCGTCCAGTCGAGCTACACCACAACAAATGCCCTGCGCAACGCCAACCGACGGGGCATTGGAGACTGACCGCTGTTGATCTCTAGGCTTTGATCAACACTCCAGTTGTTTCGGTGACAGCTTCGATGTTATTGCCCAACCCCACCAGGAAGATTCGGAAAACCCAATACCAACTGTGTCATCCCATGTCGGATGTCAGGAACTACAGGCCCCTCGGCAACTCAAGCATCGGCATCATCCATCAACTTTTCTGTATCGAAACCCTCGAGGGGTCTTGCAATATGGTCAACACAGAAGTGCCTCAGCCTATCCCTGTTTCGTTCCGAGACCCTCCATCCTCCATCCTCCGATCCGCGCTAAGCAGGTCGAGCCGGTCTAGGAATGTAGCACTTCCTTCCCATGCAGACCAACCCGACGACACGAAGCGAGCAGCAGCAACCGGCCCGTACTAAGATTGTTTGGCAAAAAAGCTTGCTGCGAGAAAATGGTCCGGTTGACTAAATGCAACCATGAGACAGACTCTGGTCGGTGGCGGTCTTACTGGCTCCCACGTGTCGAGCCCGCACCAGCTCTGCCCCATGTCCTCGCCTCGTCTTTCCCTCTCGGCTGCTGCTCTTGTGTCACCTCGAAACTTGCCGAGAACTCAGTCAAATGCCCTCGTCGTTAAAGTATACTACGGGGCACGGTCTGCTTATTATCCAGATATGCCTGCTCTCTCTCATTTGCTCTGAGCCGCTAGCGTTCCGCCATCCGACGCTCGTCTTTGCGCCACCGAACAGGTACCCTGACCTAATGATTATCTGATTTGATTTATCAGATCAAGTTGTTCTCACCATCTGTGCCAGACAAAACCTTCCCATCCGCTTGCCCCTTTCTCTCTGGCCTTGACTGCAACGCGCACACCGTCTTTCACTTGCCATTCTTCGTTACTCCGCAATGGCTGTCGACGTCTTCTCCGTGCCGGTATTTCTCGTGGTCTTCAGAGAGTCTCTGGAGACCGTCATAATCGTCTCGGTCCTGCTTGCTTTCCTCAAGCAGACACTCGACGGGCCAAACAGAGATTTGGTCGTGTACAAATCCCTGCGTAAACAGGTATTGACTTCCTCCCCTCTTCGCATTGGGATTGCGGCTGATACGCTTACCGTAGGTCTGGCTCGGTACGGGCATCGGCTTCCTGATATGCCTGGTCGCCGCGGGCGCCGTCATCGGCGTCTTCTACAAGCTCGGCCGAAACAGCTGGGATTCCAACGAGCTGTACTATGAAGGCGCCTTCTCCCTCGTTGCCGCCATCATTATCACAGTCATGGGCGCCGCCCTGCTCCGCATCGGCAAGATGCAGGAGAAGTGGCGTGTCAAGCTCGCAAAGGCCATGGAGACCCCAATCAAGACCGGCGCCAACCGGGGATGGTTGAAGCACTTCGCCGAGAAGTATGCTATGTTCATCCTCCCTTTCATTACCGTTCTCCGAGAAGGTATCGAGGCCATTGTTTTTGTCGCCGGCGTTTCCTTTTCCGCCCCTGCGACTGCCGTGCCGCTCCCGGCCGTCGTCGGGTTGATCGTCGGCGCTCTGGTCGGTTATGTCTTGTACAAGTGAGTGATCTGCGTCTAATGGCATGCGATCATCCTGCTGATTCTCGCAAAGGGGTGGGTCTACGGCCAAGCTGCAAGTCTTCCTTGTCGTCTCAACGTGCCTACTGTACCTTGTTGCAGCCGGCCTCTTCTCTAGAGCAGTCTGGGATTTCGAACAACAAGAGTGGAACAACGTCGTCGGTGGTGACGCTGCAGAGCTTGGCAATGGGCCGGGCTCATATGATATTGGCAAGAGCGTCTGGCACGTCAACGTAAGTCTGCTCACTTGAAATGCCTCGTATTCGTGTGCTGATTTTTTGCAAGTGTTGCAGCCCCGAGTTGAACGGCGGCGGCGGTTGGGGCATCTTCAACGCCATTCTCGGTTGGACAAACTCCGCGACGTACGGCTCCGTCATCGCCTATAACGTCTACTGGATCTTCGTCATCGCGTGCTTCTTCGTTATGAGATTCCGCGAGACCAAAGGACACTGGCCGTTGACAAAACCGAAACCCTCTCAACATGGTGACAGGCACGTTTCGGATGACCCGAGCGGGAGCGAGGAACAGTCCGGAACGTCCGAAAAGGACAAGGGTGCAGCTACTACCAAGACTGTCACTGCTTCGTCTTAACTGGCTCGATGACACCCGAATTTTCCTGCAACCACTGCTCGTTCTTTGTCCCTTGCATATCCTATTGACAACGTTGAGATTCCAAACTTCGTTGTTAGTTTGCTTGTATAATGGGAGACGGGTAAATGGCTCAACTCAGTCGAGGGAGCGTTCCAGACAAGAGTATGTAGCAATCAAATAAGACGATCTTTTAGTAGCTGCGATTATATCCCTCGTTATTCGGAAGACCCCCATCTGTCCGGGAGGGTTAGGCAAGCGTTTATCCATCAAGCTACCGCTCTTTCGATGCGTAAAGTGGATAACTGCTTTAAGACGACCACTCTAAGCCTTGGAATGAGGCCAAGTAGATGACCACGGAGACTTAGCGTTGAAGTGTGGTTGGGGCGGCGTGGCATGTATATGCTGCCGTACAAAGGAGGTTCTCCAACCATGCCCTCAATCATCCTTGGTCCTGGTGTTCCCAATCGTCACTGCGACATCAATAATAGACAAGGAGCTTTAAGGGAACCGAAGAGATGGTGTCGTAAATTCTCGTTCTATCAATATTCGGGGGTCCAATCCCACTTGTCGGCGGTGAAAAGCTTGCGCGCCATCTTGTCGGCATACATATTGCCCTCGTATCGAAGACGCTGGTCGCTTGCTAGACCTCTAGTGAACTCAAACTTCTTCTCTCCATTGTCCAAGCTCGCATTTTCGTCGTCATCAGGAACCCAGGAAGCTGACGCTCGATTATTCTTCCAATCGACCTGGGATATTGAAAGGACGGTCGACGACAGCATAGACCTAATGTATTCCACTATCGGTTCAAGACGTGTTCGAATGCCGCAGTTGGTGTGGTGCTTGTCAATTTGATAGCCTGGTACCTGCTTCAACATGGCCAAAATCTCCTCGATGTCAATGACTGAAGAATCTGGGATGTTGTCATACGAGCTGGGCCCGAAGTCGACAATGCCTATCAACTCTTTGCCCGTGAAGAACTTGAGCATCTGACCTAGCTGGAACGAGTCGCAGGCGGAGCTCGAGTCGTATCCAAGTTTACATTGCCTGTCGCGGGAGGAGTAAAGGGCAATAAAATGGCGATGTACCGAGGCAATGGTGTTCAAGACACACTCTCGGCGGTACTGTAGTTCTCCTGAATGAGGTCAGCATGTCGTTGTGGTTCGGGCGTGGGCTTAGTTACTCACGTTCCAAGCCGTCCGGCAGATGCCACCACAGCTCAGTACGCGAGAACTCGTCTAGAGACAAGGCACTCCAGCGGACAGAGCCACGAAGAATCAATTCCCGTGTGAAGCTATGGAGCTTGGGCGGCTGCTCCAACAGCCAGGCAACGAGAATCTTCTGTCTTAGCAGATTCTCGACGTCCGAACTTTTTCTTTGCGTGCCAGCTCGCGCTGCCTTTGCACTTGTTAGAGGCCACTTGAACTTGAGCTCGATACTAAGATATCTTGAGACCAAGGACCGACAATCGAAGCGGTCCGCCAAGATGGCTAGAGTTGTCACAAGGAGCATATTGACAGATGTAGATTGTATCTGCTTCCCGTGCATGATCCTCATCAAGTCCTCAAAGACCTTCTCTCGGCCGACAGACCTTGTAGCTTCATCATCATCGATGATGGTGATCCAAGGTAGGTCCCTAGGATCCACTTCGGCCAGCTTGAGCTTCTCAGCAGCCAGGCGGGCGAGCGTCTCTTCGACGTTGCTCGCCTCGGAGAACTGCTTATTACCGAGAAGGTTCTCAAAGTACCGGGAATGTCTCTTCAGGACGGAAAGCTTGACGCGATAGGCGACTCTGATGCTTGGGCTCAAGTTGGGCTGGGCAATGCGTGGGGCGCCGATTTTCTTGCTGGCAGCCTGCCAAGTCTTCCGAGCGGCGGCTATGGTCTCTCTGGATGTCTCGAATGTAACGTCCAGAATAATGTCTCCATCATCGCATATGCGCACAACGGGGAAAGACTCGCCCGAGGACGGATCCGATGTGTCATCCTGAACTGGTGCCGAGTCTTCCATCGTAAGACAGCGCCGCAGGGGTCGGGAGTCTCTGCCGCAACTCAAAGGGTGTCATGAAGAGTGAGAGAACAGTTAGCCATCGCTCGACTCGGAGGGAGAACCAATAGCGAGAACCTTCGACCATGAAAAGTCGACACTGATGTAAGTGAATATCCATATGTCATTCGCCTCTCAGAAGCCGCAGTGCTGGTGCATCTGCCTGTCCAATTCCACGGTAGTGGGTCTGATACTGTGTGTATTTTCTTGCAGAAGCCATGTTTGACACAGTCCTTGCTTTGGGTGCTGATTAGATAAGAGAGCCCTCCGAAGCCGCCGGCGGATGGCAGGTGTCGTCCCCGCCACTTACTTACGCAGAGTAGGTACAGTGCACATGGCTCTACCCGGATCCCAGGGTGACCTGCGGGATTGGCTGCAGCTAAACGTGGTAATCCCCCTAAAGACGACCGCGGCGGGCAGCTGGCACTGCATGGGGAATGGAAACCTCCACGGCCAGTGCCTGTCCCTCCCGTCCTTCCTTTCTAGGTCCGTCTCATTACGTCGCTGGGTCCATCCATGATCCAACCGAGGCCAACCGTGTGTGCCTTGGCCGAACTCAATCCTCTCAATCCCAACTGTGTCGAGACCAAACAATTGACCAGAAGCAACACAAACATTTCCCAGCGCCACCTGCAATCCATCTCACGTTCTCCCGACCTCCCACTTCCACCCTGCGCGACGATACTTACAGCATTGCAGCAGCTTCATGCCAATGCCTCGACGTCGCCGACGCAGCAGCTGACGACCCTCCCCCTCCTTTTGCATCCCTGACGAAGTAGCCGCGAGATTCCACCTTCGATCCATCACAAGCCGCCGCCCCAGCCTGACGAGCTGAAGCCCATGGCTTTCGCCAGCAGGAAGGCCGTCCTATCTGAGCTGCTGCAGCGCCGGTGACGCTCCTGACGTCTCTGTCCGTACATCGCCCATTTTCCAAAACAATGCCGGCTTTCACACGCTGTCCAACGCGACAAGTAGCGCAACATCATGGAACCATTCGGGTCTTTGCAGCTCCAGCTGTTCGATCGATTTGTTCGTGCTTAATCACAAACACCCGAGAATACGACGACAAGCCTGCCTCTTTCACGGTCCCGATACCAGCGTCGCGGCGAGACTACACCTCCCAGATTTCTGTCATCCGACAGCCTACGAGCTGGCTTCCTAGGCTGTCTAAGAGCCAGCGACGATGTTTGCTGGATGGCACTGAAGTGCCGAGCCTCGGAAACCGGCGATTCTTCCACAACTACTTTGTCACCCATCTCCCGTCATCCTCGTTACATCCTGATTCCCGAACGTCAGCTGGGCCGGGACACAAGTTGCCCCGCGATGCCTCAACTCCCCACACTCAGACGCCGGGGTCTTCTCCAGCCGCTGCAGCCCTGAACATGCCTAGCCGGGACCTCACCGTGGTCCGAATACCGCTCAAGAGAGCCAAGCATCATTTCGGAGTTGCCTCCTCGAGGGGCCAACGCTCGTACAACGAGGATACAAACCAGGCTGGCACCATCAGCGTGCCAGCCTTTGCCAAGCGGGCTCCCATCAGTCTTCAGAGAAGGCCAATCCAGAAGCCCAATGAGGCAACGTCCGCTGACAGTGCACTTGGTGACCCTCAAGTTTTCTACTTTGGCATCTTTGATGGTCATGGCGGGAGCCAATGTGCCGAATTCCTGCGGGATGAACTGCATGGTTACATCGAGCAAGCATCCGCAGACTTTGGGCTTCAGAGCAGCCTGAAGACAAGCCGACAAGAGACGGGTCGCAAGGATGAAGACCCGGAGAGATCCGAAGAGCTCTTCATGAAAACTGAAGAGGAGGTCAAGGACGAGATCTTGGTGCCCAAGCAAGACAAACATGGCGTCTTGAAGAACCCTGAGAGGAAGGAGCCTCTAAAAGGAGTCGATCCAGTCTCGGCCAAGGTCGATGACGTCCCCAAGGCCGTCCAGCTGGCGAAAGACCTGGTGGAAGAGTACCGACAAACTGTTGGCGGGTACTTTAGGCGCTTCAATCCCGAGTACTTCAAGCTTTCGGGAGACAAGAAAGAGAGCGCCAGCGACGAGCCTTTGGTTACGGTGGAGTCGGTTCTCATGTATGCCTTTCTCAGAGCAGACTTGGACTTCATTTCTGCCCAGGCTCGTAAGCCCGACCCCGACGACCCGCAAGCGAGCGACCGTCCCGTGAACAACGACGAAATCCTCGGGGTACCGCATAAACCGCCATCCGGCCACGGTATCGGCGGTCTTTCGCGCTTCAAGGGCGGATCGACGGCATCCATAGCTCTCATTTCGACGCCCACGCCAGCGCCTTTCTGGCATCCCAACGCGCAGTCTACCTTGATAGTTGCCCATGTCGGCGACACACGTATTCTTCTCTGCCAAACAACCACCGGCCTTGCGCAGCCCCTTACGTCGGACCACCATCCAACTACGCCCACCGAAAGCCGCCGTCTTCGGCGGTATGCGCCGGCTGGATCCATGGTCTCGGCAGACAGCTTCGGCGAAGACCGCATCGCAGGGCTCGCCAACAGCCGCGCGTTCGGCGACATGCGAAGCAAGCGCATCGGCGTATCGGCCGAGCCGGAAATCACCCGCGTGGAGGTCTGTCCGGCCGAGTACTCGTTCCTGGTCCTCATGAGCGACGGTATCTCGGGCACGCTCAGCGACCAGGAGATTGTCGACGTGATCAAGGAGGCTAGGACGCCCGAGGAGGGCGCCAAGGCCGTGGTCAACTACGCCACCGAGGTCTCCCACGACGGCGACAACGCTACCTGTCTGGTCGTTAGGCTTGGTGGTTGGGAGCGCCGGTCCGAGGGCGGCGTCGGCAGCCTTGGGACCAAGGAGATTCGCGACAAGAGGAGGGCGGAGGCGTTGGACCCTCGGCGGGGCAAACAGTGATCCCGTGGTGAGGATACACGTGCTCAGACTTTGAGGGAGGGGGGGGGCATTGTTACCATAACTATCATCTCTTGAGGAGTTGGGGACTAAATTATTTATTCTCAAAGCAAAGGGGGAACTGGTCTGGCCCATGTAAACACTGGCGGCGGGGATCGTCTTTACATGGTTTAGCAACAAAAAAACAACACGTGTCATACGAAGGGGAATCAAATCAGGATACAATCATGCAGTTCATGTGTTACGTGCTTCTACGCACTGACCCGGGGAATCGTCCTAGTCTCGCGAGCCCAAATGGATTCAAAGTACACCTCCCGTGCCGACCCAAACCGTTTCCGTGTTGCCCCATGGACTCCGGCCCATATCCCTTGTCCAAATTGTCAACTGTTAGCACCCTTCAATCCGAGACCCCGTACTCGTCTAGTAGCGGTGCTGGCCTGGGTACTGGCCCCAGCCGCCCTGCTGGTGATGAGGATGGGGCGGTTGCTGGTGGTGAGGGGGGTACTGGGGTTGCGGCGGTCCGCCGTATCCAGGACCACCATAGCCGGGTCCGCCGTAACCTTGCGGGGGCTGCGGAGGGCCCCATTGACCGCCGGGCGGAGGAGGGGGTTGGTGGCCATAGCCTTGTGGTTCGGGCTGGCTGTAGTAGCTTGAGGCCTGGCCTTGGGATTGGGAGGCCGGGTAGTGGTGGCTGCTTCCTCCCTGGCTGTCGTTGTATCCGTAATCCGGCCGCGACGGAGGGAGCGGAGAGCTGGACAGAGGCTTCGTGTCATCGCCCTCCATGGAGCTCAGATCACGCGTGCGAATCTGGTTCCAAAGCGAACCCTGCACCTTGCCATGTCCCAGCTCACCGAAGCCGTCAAAGGCTCCGTGGGAGTGGGTGTGACCGGGGCCACCAACACTCTTCGTGCCGTCGCCGCCAGTAAGAATATGGTTCTTGCCAGCCTTGACCGACTCGGACGAGAGCAGGTGAGACAGCTCGTGCTTATGGGAACTCTCGTTTACCCACTTGCGGACCGTCTCGAACATGTCCCGCTGAATCTGAATTCTGTCGTCGCGGGCTGCCGGGTGGTGGAAAGCACGGAGGACGTCATTGACGACCTCATCGACGGGCACTCCGGGGTTCTCCCAAGCGTAGAGAATGCGCCTACAATCATGTCAGCTTGGCCTCAAAGGCATCGTCCGAACACCTTTGACTTACGGGACTACATATTGCAGAACCGTCGCAGCAACTCTGCCCGCGCACGAGTTCAAGATGTTGGTGAAGTGATCTTTGGACAGCATAGAGTGGGTGGGATCATCACAACTGGGGTTTTTCCAGGGCTCCAGCTGAGAGTTGGAGCTGGCAGTGATGACAGTCGAGGAACCATCCTTAAGGACCTTGGAGACCTGGGTGATGATGGGCCTGACAAACGGCGCCAGCAGACCCAGAATGAACGCAGTCAGGGTCTCACTGATGTGGTCCAAGAGCTTCTCCAAGCCAGGAATCTTTGAGATGAGATTGCTGATGGACTTGACAATCTTGTCTCGGAACTGCAAGATCGGGTAGATCTTCCGGGCAGTCTCGACAGGGTCAAAGCTGGTGCTCATGCCGGGTACCTGGTTTGCGCTGTCGCGGCTGAGGTCTCCACGGCTGAGGTCACCGCCTGAGCGAGTGTTTTGCTGCTCCTGTGCAGCCGAGCTGGTTTGTAAATCGCGAGCCTGACTGGCCAGGTCGCCGCCAATGCCAGGGAGCTGACCGATAAGAGAAATGAAGTCGGTCGGCTTCGAGGAGCCAAGCCCCAGAAAGCCACGAGACCCAGTGCTGCCACCAGTGATGTTGGAGGTCATTCCCTCGGCGTTCTTGAGAGCGACGTTCATTTCGTCCACCTCGGACTGGGTAAAATGGTCCGTAGCTTCACCGAGAACAGAGTGCAGGAAATCGACAGCACCGAATGTCCCGGTGACGAGGGGAAGACTCGGCGTCCATTGAGGTTGATCTCGGTGGCAGCACCGCAGTGGGGGTAGACCTCGTGGTAGCCCAGTTCTCGCAGAGCAAGCTCACAGTAGTTGCTGTGCGCGCTGAAGTCCTCCATGCAGTGGAGGGCCTGCCCGAGACATCGCAGTGCCTCGCAAAGGTCGGTCTCCTTTCCTGAGCCATGCGAACCGCTCGTGTAGACCCGGCCGAAGTGAATGCTGCGGGCGAAGCTGAAGCGCAAGTAGCCAGCGCTGGTCGCCCAGCCGCCAGATTCATTGGCAATGTAGTTTTTCATGCCAGTGCGGGGGTCGATCTGAGTTTCGACAGGGTCGACGGGACCACGGAGGCGAGGGTCAAACTTGCGCGCGTCCATGCCATCGGCGTAACCCAGGGGGTTGTCAATGTGCTCTTCAGGACGGTAGACGCCCAGGCGCTCCTCGGTTACCTCGAACTCTTCCGTCGCATAGCCGAAGGCCATGAATGAAAGAACCCAAACCTATCAGGAGGAGTTAGGATAAGCGCGGCGCATCAATTTCTGCTATAGGAAAAGATACGAACCAGGATTCTAATGGTGGGAGCGTTCACTCCCTTCAAGCTGCCGACATCGACGGCCTGAGAGTAGTCGCGAAGCCAGTTTCCAAAGTAGACACGAGACACCAGCATGGAGGTCCACTTCTTGCCGTGCAAGAAAGCGATAGTCTTGAGCATATCCTCGATATCTGTGCGCAAACATGTCAGTAAGCTGTGGGCGTAAGCCGGGGGGCAACGGATTGCGCACCTCCATGACGCCAGTTGTGACCCTCGACCTGGCGATCGCAATGCGTTAGTATGCGAAACGGAGTGGTATTGGACGGTTTCTCTTGGGGATGTCGAGTTACCTGAGCAATGGAGGGGATGTTGCCCGCGCCAAAGGCGGCGGCGCGACCTGGCAAAAGCACCAGAAGCAGACAAAAGGCCAGGATGATGGAACCTCTCCCGAGACCGGATGACGCCATGGTTCAGGGTCGCGGGAGACTCGGAAGTTAAGTCCAGAAATCGGTAAAGACTGGATGTGAAGTTCAGTCGCGTTATTGCGTCGGATGTTCGGGGAGCAATGGAGGGGTTGCGCAAAATGCTTGGGTCCACGAGGTCAAGAATCAGCCTTGTTGGAGGGGTAAAGACGAGTGAAAGAGGTGCAAGGTGCGTTGAGGTGAGCGGGAAGGTTCAAGTTCGGCCAGACGAGTTAAGCTTCGAAAGCGGTTACCTAAGGTGATGTAAGGCACGTAGGGCACAGGCAGGTAGAGCCGAACAGGAGGATTGGGGTTAAATGAGAAAAGAGGGCGAGTCGAAGCTGGAATGAACGAGCTGAATGACTTAGAAGCTTGCGCAAACCTGCGAATTACATAGTGCAATCCAGCACCTTCACGTCTCGGCGCCATCCACCTTACGTAGTACTTGGACGGCAAAGACGTGCCGCGCGCAGACTTTGAAGGCTTGGGTCGCAAACCTGGGGCTGGAGGGAGTATTCTTAGATAACGCGCAATGCGTGTGCAGGGCAAGGACGCTATCATGGGATACCAACTGGCTGCCCCGCCATATGTTGGGATCACCGCTGACGACACCTCTGGTTCCCTTGCCTTAGGATGACGGGGAGCTGCTCACCTCTCGAGGAAAACCCCAGAGAGCTGTCAGCTTGGCTGTGTGCAGGACCAATTCTCTTTTGTTGCCTTGCGTCACATGTGTGCCATTCCGACCTACGCCGCGGTTGCAACTGCGGGCGATGGGCTGCATACACAAGCAGGCGAACCTGCATCATTCAGGATCGGCCTCCCTCGCGATGCAGGGCAGACCATCCCAGTGGGGGTTGGATAGAAGCAGTGCCATTGTCGGAATGTGCCCGGCAAGGTCGCGTTGGGGGGCTCGACCGAGCACTGATTGTCCCCAGAAAGCCCCCTCCATCATCTACTTTGATTTTACTTTTGATTGGCTTAAAGCAAGCTAGCTCGGACAGAGCATGGCGGGATAGCTGTCTGTCTGGTTCATGGAGGATGCAAACGCACTGCAGAGTTTCCCGAGCTATCTGAAAAGAGTGTTTAAAGGCAAAGGAGGTAGAGGGTACTTTGCGCTGGCGATATCAGATGCGCAGGAAACTTTGAAATACCTTAATTGGCGTCTGGCAGCCTGACGCCCTGCCCCACCTCCTGTGCGCTGAGCTCAGCACAACCGCGCCGCCGAATGCCCCGAAAGCAGGCCCCCAAACACTGAACAGCCAAGGTGCCCCTCCATCTGAAAGCGCCCAGGCTCTCGCCCATTAAGCGCGGCACTCGACAGGGCGGGGCCCGGCCGGTAGGGCAGGCGCAAGGAAACGGGCCCCGCCATTGGCCGAAGCGATCCGATCAAGTACACGATACTTGGCCCAAACGCATTGCGTCCCTGGCCGACTTCAGGCTTGTCCCCAGCACCATCGCCAGCCCAACGAGATGATCACTCATGTTTGCACCACAAGGTTGGTCTAGCCGCCGTGTTCGTTTCCTCATCTGTCTTTGTTCGATTTCCCAAAGTTGGGCGCGACTTAACTTTGTGGTTGACAGCTGGATACCTGAGTGCGGGGACCAATACTGTGATGTACTGGGTGGTCGGCTGGGTAGAGACCCTGCAATTCGGTGCGTTCTCCCATGTGCAACCTGTACGTAAAGAGGCTGTGACTAAGCAGTGAAAGGCACTTTTCGCGGTCGCAACAGCTGGACGAATCCAACGCGTGGCTCGCCAGCCACACAATGCAAAGCCACGGTCTCTAGCCGGCGTTTTCAGCTGGCGTCGCGTCGTCGTGGTGTCGAGACAAATCGTGCGTGTAATTGATTTAATCGAGTACGTACTTAAAAGCAGTTTTGATATGGCTCATGCGTCGACATGCGAGCTAGCTGCAGTGCAAAGACTCTCCCCATTAGCTCGACCTCAGACTCTCGACCCCAACAATGCTCACCCTCACAGACCGCCGCTGCTGCCAACAGGCGCCACTTTGCTGGCCATCTTGGTCTTGGGTCAATGGGAGTTCACGGCCCATTTGCCGGAGGTGCTAAGACGATGAGACGGCGTGAGTTCGTCCTCGATCTTATCTAAAGTGTTCCAAGACATGCCCCTCGTTTCCAGGCCCCTCGTTTTGAGGCAACGAGAAGCCAAGTCGGTCGGGAGAAACAAACACTGGGCACGCCGTCCCACGCCACACGGTACACCGCACTTCCAGTGTGAAGCTGACCGACCATTCCGAGCGAGTACTCGCTGGCGTCCATCAACACGACAGAAACAACTACATTGCAGGAATCAATCCATGACACCACCAGCATCAGGGAAAGGGGGCCTTTTGCACAGACCCGGCAGCTGCAAGACGATCCAGATGGGCCGCCAGCCGACGGCCTTGTTTGGATTTGCCTGACATATGTACTGCCCTGGGCCTGGGATGTTTTGGCTCGGTGATTGTCGCGGACTTTCCATGGGGGTGTAGGCGTCCATGTAGCGTCGCCATCCCAGTCTCCCATTTCCCTCCCGTCTCAAACTGCCATGCAACTTTTTTTATTTTCGCCTTCTGGAGATGCCGGACTCTGCCCAATGCCCATTCCCCGTTTCCAGATTTCCCCTTGTCTCCGACTCTCGGTGTCGTGGCCTGTCGACTCGAGTCTACTTTGCACCCTGCTCACCTCAGTGACAAGCTCTCACCTCTATCCCTAGGCTAGGAATAGCACCTCCCATTGCTTCCGCGCCCGCCAGCAAAACCACATCCCCTATGTCCCCGTTCCTAGTCAGTTTTCCGTCCCAGACCGTCTCCGGCCCAACTAGGCCAAGAAGTGCCCACACCTCCCTCCCATCCTGACTCCCGTCGCGCACCCATCCCGTCACTCGTTGCCTGTTCTGGGACGTGTTCGACTGGTCGCTGAGCTGAGGCAGCTGCAACTTCGGGGTTTGTATCCATCCAAGAAAAAAAACATCACACAGTGTTCACAGTGTAAACCCTGGAAAAAACGGGTGAGGGTGGTTGACTGTGGAACCACAAATCGGCTGTCCAAGCTTCCGCCAGGTCCCATTCTGTGCCAAAGTAACGCCACCGCGCTGTAATTTTTCTGTCCTGGAGAGATTAGACTAGTCGCGTACGGCTACAGCCTATGGCAGCAGAGAGCTTCCCCTGGGCTTCCTCCCAACTACTTCCCGCCCCATCCCAAATCAAACACCCCCCTAAATTAATTCCTTGACCCGTCTCCGTCTCTCTCACCACCCTCGACTGTTCCACCGAGCCTCAGTCACATCGCCCCGGCCTCTCTCGCCTCTCCTCCAACTTTCCCTCCCGGCCCTCCCGGCTTCTGGCTCCTTTTCCCTCACTCACGAATAGATCGCCTGCTTTTGCCTACCTTGCCTCATCTTAATACTTCTTCCTTCGTGCATCCTCCTCACCTCGACCTCTCCTCACTCCCCCCCTCTCTCTCTTGATAGGGCCTGCAACTGCGACTTTTGCTGCGACACTACCCGTCCACTCCCTTTGTTGTTGTTCAACTTCTTTATCTTGCCCACTTGGGACTGGGTCGCCAAACACTCAGAGCGACTACACACCGATACAACCCGTCCAATTCGTTCCAACTTCAGCCACCTACAACCGCAGACGTTCCGTCAATCCCGCAGCAATATGCCGTCGCGAACTCTTCCAACCTTCACTCGTGCTGAGGTCGAAGCTCACAACACCAAGAAGTCCTGTTATGTTACCATCGGCGCAAACGTCTACGACGTGACCGACTTTGCCCAAGATCACCCTGGTGGCGCCGACTTGGTCTTTGAGTACGCTGGCAAGGACATCGAGGCGATTTTGCGCGATCCCACCTCCCACCCCCACTCAGAGGCGGCGTACGAGGTTCTCGACGACTCCTTGGTCGGATTCGTCATCAACCAGAAGACGATCAACGGATCAGTTCACAAGGTCAATGGTACCGCGAACGGGAAAGTGAATGGGCATGCGAATGGAAACGGTACCGTCAACGGCAACATTAACGGCAACGGCAACGGCGCAGCCAAGTTTGAAAACGAGGGAGTCAAAATGAACGAGCACGGCGAGCTCTGGGACGGCGAGCGCTGGGTTCACCCCCGGACCGGTATGGCCAGCGAGGAGGATTTGAGCAAGGAGACGGATTACACCACCGATTATAAGAAGCACAAGTTCCTCGACTTGAGCCGCCCTCTCTTCCCCCAGATCTGGTACGGCGGCTTCAGCAAGGAGTTCTATCTCGACCAAGTTCACCGCCCTAGACATTACAAGGGTGGCGAGTCCGCGCCTCTGTTCGGTAACTTCCTGGAGCCTCTGTCTAAGACGCCCTGGTGGGTTGTCCCGATTGCGTGGCTTCCTCCTGTGGCATACAGTCTATACCTTGCCAGAGACGGCATGGAAAGCACCACGCAGGAACTCCTCTACTTCGGCCTTGGACTCTTCCTCTGGACTCTGATCGAGTATATTTTGCACCGCTTTCTCTTCCATCTTGACCAGTATGTTGTTCCGCTCTTGCTATGATCACTTTGGAGAAGGGTTGCAAAGCTAACAAAACCCCAGGTGGCTTCCTGACAACCGAGTCGGCATCACCGCGCATTTTCTCCTACACGGTATTCACCACTACCTCCCTATGGACAAGTACCGCTTGGTCATGCCCCCTACGCTGTTCGTCGTTCTCGCCACGCCATTTTACAAGCTCGCGCACTGGGTGTTTTCGTACAGCTGGCACGCCGCTACAGCCGTCTTCTGCGGAGGCATCTTCGGCTACATCTGCTACGACCTCACGCATTACTTCCTCCACCACCAGAACCTTCCTCTCTGGTACAAGGAACTCAAGAAGTACCACCTTCAGCACCACTTCCTCGACTACGAACTCGGTTTCGGCGTCACCAGCCGGTTCTGGGACAGCGTCTTTGGCACTGAACTGCCTCCCATTGTGAAGGCCAACTAATTCCTGCCTGCAAAAGCCACACCACCATTACCATTACCACCACCACCACCACCACCACCACTACAACAACAACATACATCTTGTCATGATGACGACTTCTGGGCCTATTCTCTAATGCTTGATAGAGCAGTGTCTGCTCTTCTTTACGATCACTTTGCCCCCCTTGTATATACGCTTTTAGGATTACTTTAACGCTGTAATGGGTTCGTTTCGAGGGCGTTCTTAGGAGATGGCTCAAGATGAGCCATGCGTATTACAGCGCCCCAGCCAGCCATGATGCGGCTGGGAAGAGCCGCCATGGTCTCATGGCAGGCTGTTTTAGTACAGAGTATTTTGAATGATACCACACACACCGAGATTATGCCATAAAAGTAATCAGACTGCACGTTCGTCCCCTTCACCCGTGACCGTTGCAGGTGATGAGTTTGATGTGTGCCCATGGCGAGGATCATAGCTTGTCCTCAGATCTTATGGATAGCTAGGGAACGAATGGAGTAACTCTACCGACGCCATGGGCGCATCCGAACGACGAACCGTTACAGCATACGTTGTTCACGGGCAGTCGTAAAGGGGGTCTGGTCGGGCCTTCAGTTGGAAGTCAGTTTTGGCATATTGCAATGCTACACCCTTCGCTCCTTCCCTTGGAACAAATCTCTGGGTCACGTGGTCAATTGGTCTGATGTCGAGTACGGATAGGTAGGTGCTCTGAACATGTAGGTTTTCCGCGGTGGCTCGACCGTGGGAAAGTGCAATGCAACCGTCGCGTGCTTGGAACCTGCTTGTCTGAGTCAGCTCCACACTCACTTCGCATTAGGTAAGTTACGCTCTTTTCCGCGGCTGCGGCCACATTCCAGGTTTGCTTGGCTACGGTACCTACTAGCCGGCCTCCCAGCGTCTAGGCTGTCCCTAACCCGCTAGCCCAAAGTTTCGTCCATCTGCTGCTGCATTGATCAATTCTGAGACCGCGCCAGCCTCTCACCGTCCCACGTCTTTCACGCACCTGCTTTCCCCTCCACCCACGCCACGACAAAATCTGCTTCCCAGGTCGATAGTAACACGCAGAAGTGTATGAACACTAACCAGATTTACCTCTGCCCATCAAGATTGACGCGAAAGACAAGATGTCGGGCCTAGACGTAGAGGCGTTGCTTGACGCCACCGCGAAAGGCTCAACCGAGACCAAGACACACGATGTCGACGAACGTCCCAACGGCGACCGCCCTGAGCGCAAGGAGCGCGATCGTGCCCGCGATGGAAGCCGCGACCGGGACTACGAACGTCGTCGCCGAGACCGCGAGCGCCGCGACCGGAGCACGACACGAAGCCGTCGCGGGACCCCGGACGACGTCAAGGCATCCACCCCTCGGAGCGACGCTGGCAGCCACAAGAGTAGGCGGAGAAGCAGAAGCCGCGATGATGACCGCCGTCACTCACGTCGTCACAGAGGAGATGGTGATTACTACAGAGGCGGACGAGCCCGCTCCCGCTCTCGCTCGCCCCACCGCTCTTACCGCTCATCCCGCGACGACTACCGCGAACGCCGCGATCGCTCCGATCGTTACTCAGGGGATCATCGCCGGGCAAGGGATGATGATCGCCCAGAGACTTCTTCCAAGCGTGAGGCTACACCACAACTTACTGAAGATGAACGGGATCGCCGCACTGTTTTTGTCCAGCAGCTCGCCGCCCGTCTTCGCACACGCGACCTGAAGGCGTTTTTCGAAAAGGTCGGCCCTGTCACCGAGGCCCAGATTGTCAAGGACCGCATTAGCCAAAGATCCAAGGGGTATGTGTACACCATTTCGGCCGTTGTACAACTGGGTGCTAATCGTTTCCCACAGAGTCGGTTATGTTGAATTCAAGAACGAGGACTCTGTCACCCAAGCTCTTCAACTTACTGGGCAGAAACTGTTAGGTATCCCTATCATTGTTCAGATGACGGAGGCCGAGAAGAACCGACAGGTTCGCACAACCGAAACCACTAGCGCCCACCCGAACTCGATCCCCTTCCACCGGCTTTATGTTGGCAACATTCACTTCAATGTCACCGAGCAGGATTTGCAGGCCGTTTTTGAGCCCTTCGGCGAGCTTGAGTTCGTCCAGCTCCAGAAGGATGACAATGGACGCAGCCGAGGCTATGGTTTCGTACAGTATGGTTTCCTCTCGCTCCCGACATTGGGGAGCCGCGCTGACCGACTCTAGATACCGCGAAGCCAGCCAAGCCAGAGAGGCTCTTGAGAAGATGAACGGGTTCGATCTTGCTGGTCGCCCGATCCGCGTTGGCCTCGGAAACGATAAGTTTACCCCTGAGAGCACTGCCAACATATTGCAGAGATTTCCTGGCCAAAACCCACAGTATCAGGGCTCTGCATTTTCTGGCGCGGGCGGTCGCGGCCCCCAGACATCGGCATTCGACCGTGCGGGTGGAAGAGACAGCGAGAAATCTGGCGGCGCTAGCGCCCTCGATGACACCGACGTCGCTGGCGTTAACTTTAACAACTACAGCCGTGATGCCCTGATGAGAAAGCTTGCCAGGACTGATGATGCTTCCAACGGAGTAGATGAACGACAGGTGCTGAAGCCCAAGACCGAGACCAAACCTCTGCCTGTCAACGTCAACATGGCCAGCCGATGCGTCGTCCTGCACAACATGTTTGATCCTGAAGAGTGAGTCAATTCTACCCTTTGGCATTCATCCCCTCCGCATGCTAATTCCATTGTAGGGAAGAGGGCGACGATTGGGTCAAGGAATTGGAGGACGACGTCCGACAGGAAGCAGAAACCAAGTACGGCCGTGTCGTCCACATCTCGGTCGACCCGAACTCCAAGGGCGACATCTATCTCAAGTTCGACAAGGTCCAGGGTGGCGAGAACGCCATCAGAGGTCTCAACGGCCGCTACTTCGGAGGCAGGATGATCGACGCGTCACCTGTTGTAGATGCCGTCTACAGCAGTTTGTTCTCTCGCACACGAGCGATCTGAAAGCTAATATATATGGCCTCGAAAAGCATCGTCTAGGATCCCCCCAGTAGGTATAATCAATCCCAATAAGCACCGCCTTCGCTGACACCAGTAGCAAGTCGATGTCCTCCATCTCCGTCTCACTCGATCCGACAGACTACGGCACAAAGACTTGTTGTCCCGTGGTCTCTGGTCAGCAGTAGTGTCTAGCCAAGTCTTTGTCACGTCGGAGAACAAAGGTCTAACCCAACAACATTGGAGAGCAGATCGACTCCGCACTGATTCTCTGCAGAAAACACATTTGATTGCACATTCGATCGCCAATCATTTTCTGGCTGATACTTGTACCTTAGGTTGTTTCCTTCAACGTACTCCTCTCACATGCGAGCGTGTATGACAGGTTGCCAAAAACGACGTCTGGGTAAGGAACAAGGAAGCTATAGCTATGGAGCCTACTTAGGTACTAAAATTTGTTCTTAGTATAATTGCTGTGTCTCAGATTAGCTGGCATATTGCTGGCTTGCTTAGTACCGTTGTCTTTTCCCTCCCCATGGCCTTTTCATTTTATCTCTTGGTACATTCTCGTCCTCGGCCACGACGGCTATCCTGTCATAACTCGGTTGGCCAGATGAAGGTCTTCTCGGTTCCAGGCATTAGTGTGGTACTACAGCCACGTGCTGGTACGGCGTCTCAAGCTTCTAGTGTCTGGACAAACTGTTCATTTCTGGTCTATAGCGGTCATTTTGACTGAATGACTATCACTTCCCCGTTTATTGTTTACTCTACTAATCATCAGTCCGGAATCCATGGCATTCTTTTCGATGCTTGGAGCGGAAATTTCACACAAGGCTCACCGTAGCACCTTTGATCTAAAATTCAGCGCTCATGAGTTCCTTTTCTTTTATCCCTAAACCACTGCTCACACGCCCAGTTACCTAGCTAGCGGCAAGTTTGTAGGTTGTATGAAGTAGCTCAAAAGCTACCCTACTGTCCAAATATGAAGTCACAGAAACATCTCGGGCATGCTAGTGCCTCTTTATCTCACTACTGCCTCCACCTCACCTACTATTAAGGGGGTCCTTTGACTTACTTATGTCTTGCACCAGACAACGATCAGACGCGAGATGCTGCGATGGAATTTTTGTCGTTTCCCTCTGACTTGCCTGGGCACTGACGTGCCTCTCTCGTCGACATAATATAATACTTCACCTATCAAGTCCGATTGAACTTGTTCACGTCTTGGCAGTCCGTGATGCCTTCAGTCTCAAGGAGCTGCCGGTTTGTGTTCTTTCACATTCCTTCCTCTTTTCTTGTCTCGTTGGCCTTGAAGGTGCAAGAGGTTTGTGTCTCCACGGTTCGTCCTTCGATGGCTGTGCAGGGCTCTTCTCGCTGCTTCTGGTCAGCTATTGTCCTCCGACCACTGCCGCTCCTCCATCGTTCTCTCAGACCATCATCACCCCCTTACCCCAGCATTTGGCCTGTCTTTCTTAATCATTCGTGACTGTAGATGTTGCCAGGGTTCCATCTCTCTTGTACCATGGGAAAAATACACATCATTGATCTAATGTCTTGTTATTACTAGGAGTGCCTGCTTGTTCCTATATCTATCACTCAATATCAATCCTCCATAAGCTTTGAGTAAGAACTCTAAACCAGCAATCACGTCGACAAGTGCCCCTCTCCCGTCATCTTGTGAAGGTCGCCCTGGCCGGATCACGACGGCCTGCCTTGACCCGTTCTGTTGACAGCCGCCCTTATCCCCCCCCTTGGACCCTTCGGACCGAGAGACTGTTCTTGACCAGGTGACTTGTCTTGACCCTCGCGAGCTCCCGCCCTTTCGAGAAGTAAAATAGGGAAAACTCTGCTCCATTCTTTCTGCTTTCAACTTCTTCTCAAAGTCTTTCTCGTCCTCTGCCTTGTCTTCCTCCATAGCCATCTACCTTGTTCCCATCTCTTCTCCTCCTCTCTTGGTCTCGCCATTTATCCTCTCTCTTCCTTACCACTCGAAAAGCGCCCTCCTCAAGCTCTCTATGAGCTTGTATTTCTCCTTGGGAACTTGATTCTTCGAAGTCCCCTCGATATCCCACGTCAACCTCTTCCAGTCTCTTGCTACGAGCTGCTTCCTCAGGTTCTAATCGTACCTTGCTTCGGGAGACAGCCTTAGATCAATATCAGCATCAAGGTAAGAAACCTCTTCAGCTTTCCCATATCCTCCTCCATTTGCACACTCTTGCCTATATCTCGGTCTTCATCTGCTTCTGGATAATTGTTGACACTTTGTCTCACATCAGACTTTAGATCATACATGGTATCGTGTGCTCACTGACGATACCCAAGGAGAAACCCCAGTCCAATCTTGTGCTTTTTCTTAGGGGATGTACTTGCTTTTGGCATCACGGTCCGACATCCAGATCACTCCGGCAACGTTGATCAAGAATCGAATTGCTTGTTGTTCTCGGCCGGGTTCTCGCTAGGTCAGTCATATCGAGCTTGGAACGCCCTCGAACTTCTGCTGATGGGGGGACAGGCAACACCGAGACCGACTGGCAGCATCGCGTACCTTCTTTACCATCCTCCGTTGCAACTTAAGAGGTCAAATTACATCGCCTCAACCAGATAAACACTTGCTCTAACAGTTATTAAAACACGTTGAGAGTTTTGGGAGATTTGTATCGGTATGTAACAACTTTCTCTACGTCTCCAGCGTTTGCTTTTCTTCTTCACTCTGTACTTCAAGGCCTAGTTGGGGTCGGCATTTTACTGTTGGGCAATTCCAAAGAACATGTCTGCCACTCTCTCTCCCTACTGGTATATATGCCATGGCAAGTGTCCAAGGGATGAGTCAGCACTGGAATCAATCATAATGAGTCTCATTGTGCTTCTTTCTTCTTTCAAAGATGTCTGGTTGTACCTAATTTGGGGATGGGAATCAGAGTGATAGGATAGGGGTAATGAGGTCACTGGTCCTGGGTATTCACATTGGCTCATCTGGACTCACCTGGGTGAGCTTAAGAAAAGCACACCTTACCTGCACCTTTCCCATCAGCTTGGTGTATTCATTCTCAAAACATTATCTGGGTGCCTCTCCTGAAAAGGTTAGCGTAGTTCGTACCTGCCTCCTGCGCAGACAGCAGCCTGGTTTTTCCAAAATATCTACAACTTTTCCACTCCTACCAGATTCTTCCCACACCAGCCATCACCAATACTTCATAAATCCCCGGCCTCTTCCTCTTGTATTCTCAGCCTCTCTCCCCATCACGGAAATATCGTCTCGGTATTCTGTTCCCCTTAAGAGCGTATCGACACTCTCTCATCATCCCTTATTCCCTATAAGAATCGTTTTCCTTGACCTTTGCCGAGACTTGCGTGGCCATGATGGCCGACTCAAGCACCGCGAGCTCCGGCTCTGGGGAAGGCCATCACGGAGGCGTTCGTCTCGCAGAGCACTCCCCTCTGTTCGCTGCTACTCGTAAACCGTTTGAGTCGACTCCGTCCTCAACGGACAGCACTGTCCGCGACTCCAAGTCGCCGTCCGACGTCTTCGCCGCCGATCTTTCTAACCAGGCCTCGCAGCTTTACACCGGAGACTACCAGCTGCCGCAGCCTCCCAAGTTCCAGCAGGCGAGCTTCACTTTCAGCAACAGACAGGGAGGTTCTCAGCACGTCGGGTCCTCAAACGTCCAGAATCCCGGCAGTTTCTCTACGGGAAAGGCGTCTGTCCGTTCTGAGGGAACCGTCTTTGCTACTCCTGCCGGTCGTTCTGTCATCGAGCCCACTGCCTCGGGCTATCGATCTGGTCCTCTTCCTTCAATCACTCCCAACCGCGAGTTCAGACCCGTTACTCCCAACGTCAAGACTCCGGGCCACCGCACCCCCGGCTCGTTCAACAACGACGCTCGACGTAACCAGTCTGGCCCGGGTCTCACTACCATCTCGGAAGAGCAGAACAAGATCGCGCCTAATACCGAGCGTGGCCAGACAAAGAAGATTGTCGCAGAGATGGCTGCCTATTGCCAGATTGACGGCCCCTTGGTTGGACCTCTTCGAGACAGCCGACGCTCCGAGCTTGCCCGGAACCATGTAAGTCATTCTCACTTCACCTTGCCTCGCTTCTCTTTCCTTGTATTGTGGTCAAACATTTTGTCCTTTAATCACTATTTTTTCCTACTTTCGCATTTTTACCCCCATCAATCTTTTCGAACAATGTTCCGTCGGAATCGTATACTAACTAAGGATAAAAGCCTGCCTGGATCCCCGCCCGCCAGGTTCAAGCTGGTATCATGACCACCCAGCAGGCGATCCGCCGCACCCCTGGTATCCCCAGCAAAATTGCCAACGATCTTTGCGAAGGCCTCCAGAAATATGCCCAGCAGGTCAACAACATTCTACGCCAGGCGGTCAATGAGGTCGCCGACATCAAGATCGACCTCGAGTACAATGACAAGGTGCTCTGCTCCAGCAAGTTGGAGGCCAGCATAATCACCGAGGAGCGTGAGCAGCTGAAGCGCGATATCGCCGAGATTCATCGCAAGTACGAGGATTTGGAGGATCGCCTTGCTCGGTACCACGTCGAGCAAGAGAACCACAAAAACTCGGTGCTCGAGTTCCTGGCGCGCCTTGACCCTCACAACGGTAACGATGAGGAGGCCCAAAACCAGACCATAGCTGAGCTGCTCCAGGTTCGTTTTCCTTCGAGCTTTTGGGCGATGATCTACGCTAATTGGTACATTACAGACCCTCAAAGACTTCATGAACCGCCCCAGCTCCCGCTGGATGCATGGTGAGCGTGACAACGACTCGTCCAACGCCATCACTACTCTCAGCTCCGCGAACATCGCTGCTCTTGAGAAGCAGAACCAGCCGGAGCAGAGTCAGCAGCAGACCCAGCACCCTCAGGAGGCTCGTCCTTCCCAGATGTCCGAGTCTCGCGAGGTCATGCCTTTGGCGAACAATGCCCTGCAGCCGTTCAACTACCAGCAGAACGCGGAGCAGTACTCCGCTCCGGCCCATTTGCCTGCCCAGAACGGCCCGCCCTCTTCGTACCCTGGCATGTTCGGCAACGCTCGCCGGCCCGCTGACAACCGCACCATGTCATCTGCCGGCTGGACTCGCGCCTCCAGCGGTGCCCGTGGTCATCACATCATGCCCCTCCTGGTTCCTACTCACGGTCCGGAGATACCCGCAACGGGTTCGCCAGCGGATACAAGCAGTCTAATGGTTTTGAGGGACCTGGCGGCTTTGGTGGTCGGTTCGACATGATGCCGTCTCGCCCTGGTACTTCCATGGGCAACCGCAGCGGCGCCAACCAGAACACTTCGTTCCGCCCCAACGCGCCCGAGTTTCACCCGGGCATGGCGGGTAGCATGGATCACAGCTTCGAAAGCGTTGATGCCTCGTACAACCTTGGTTACGGCCCCGGATCGAACGCTGGTTCTCGCCGTGACTTCAATGACGGCAGCGGCCCTTACACCAGCCCGACTCCACGCTCCGCCAGCCGTAGCACTTTCGGTAACTTCGAGGGTCCCTACTGCGGCCGCTACCACGGTCCTCCTCAAGTGATGCTTCCATCCCAGGGCCCCCCTTACAACACGGGCTCGAACCACATGGGCTACAAGAGCGAGTACGCCATGGTCCAGCGAGGAAACCGCACTCACGCGCCCACCTCGTCTGGCCACAGCTACTATACCGCCAACTACCCTCAGCAGGGAGGCTTCAGCCCCGGTCCTTTCGGCCAGGGCGGCAACGGCCCCAGCCGTGCTATCACCAGCCCCTTCGCTCCCGGCCATGGCTTCAACGAGGACGAGGGTGGCGACAACGAGCGCTATGCCCGCGCTTTTGAGGGAGTCTGGGGTCTTGCTCGGGGCTAGGTGCTCCAGTTCGCCTCGGAGGTCGACCTCTCCATCATGTCGCGCTCCAACGAGATTGCGCTCCTGCGCTACATGGCGAAGCTGTACGCCCCCTTCAGCAAGCAGCAGGCCTGGTCTTACATCCGCCAGCACATGAACGACCCCATGAGCCGCGCCTGTCTGATCTCCCGCGCCATCATCGACCTGTTGGTGAACCGCATCTTCGCCTTTGAGGCCTGGGAGGGGTTCTCGGTCGATGCTGATCGTCAGCTCCGTGAGATTCGCCACGAGATGAACAATCTCCCTGGTAAGTTTGCTTCCCTTTGACTTCGTCACCCCGAATCGCTGCTCACCCCGCCTGTCTTGCCCAGCCGGCCAAGGCGGCGCACTCCAGGTCTGCATCGACCGCGTTGCGGCCATTGTCAACTCGTGCATCAACCACGAGCGCTACGAGGCCTACCGCAACCACCGCATCGAGTATTTCCAGGCCGAGCTCCGCGAGATGCTCTCGCCTCTGCTCGTGCCCGAGACCTCCGGCGGCCCCAATCTGGAGAAGGCCGACGAGGCACTCAGCCAGATGTGCGAGAAGGCCTGGTCCATCTCGGCCAAGATGTTCACCTCGCGCTGGACCTTTGAGTTCCGCTTTCCGGACACCGGCGCGCGCTTCAGCACCCAGACCATGGTCGGCATCGCGCCCAACATTGGCCCCACCTCTTGCAGGCCGAGCATTGGCGTGTGCAGCTGGTCGTCACCCCCGTCATTACCGTTCGCAACGACACGGGCTCTTCGATCTCGGTGGCTTCCATCACCAGCGCCCATGTCATCTGCATGAAGTAGTGGGTGGTTGAACATTGGGCTTTTGCGGCGTCCCTAATTTCTTCTTCTTCTTCGGTTTTCCCACTTCGTCGTTTCTCTCTATACAACGAGGGCGTCGACATTCCAGGACGGACCGGCAACAATGTGTACGATTATGAACCCACGACATTCTGGATTCACACGAGTTTGCGACTTTTTGCTTTTACTCTTTTCCCCGGCATACTTCTCCAGCAACAGGAGACCCATGCCACCGACAGGCAAAGCTCTCACTGTGAACAGAGAGCAGTGCCACCGGCAAGCAGGGTTCTCATCACCAGAACAGAAAACAGTGCTTTCTTCGACATGGTTCTCGTCACCAAGAGAGCAGTGCCATCGCCAACCAGTGCGAATCAACTCACTGGACCCGGTCAACGAGACCTCGACATTGCGAATATTGACGACTTTGGGGAAGCCGCCACCATTTTGGTTTCTCTCTCGGCATGTTGGACTATTTGGCAGCCCCGCCATCCCCCCCTTTCCGGCACCCTCTTCTCTTGGGAACATCCGACGGATCTTGGGAAGTACTACGAAGGATAGGTACGGGGCGGGCAGACGAAAAAGGATTGGTTTTCGGGACTGGCAATTACAAAGTAACAGTAAAAAGCACCAAAAGGAAAAAGGGGAAAAAACAGTTTTGCGTTTCTCTCTTTTTGTTTGTAGACGGGGGAACGTCCCCAGCCAGCCAGCCACCCGAGTCTTTGCCGGTTTGTAAGGGGAGGATAGGTGCGGCGGCCAAGGGACCGGATCACAAGCAAGAGTGAAAACGGCGATAGAAAACCACACAAACACCAACAACAAAAAAGGAATAAAAAGTATTGTAAAACCCTCTGGTTTTGTCCCTCGTGATGTCCGAGTTTGTGACTTGTGACTTGTGATGTTCTCTTGATTTCAACAGCCTCGTCCCCCCTCAACGTCAAGATCACCAAGGAGTCAGGAGAGATGAAGGGAACGGCCGTCGGCTGTCGATTCGGATATGTGGAGTCCCGAGTTTACTATGCCCCTGCCCGTAGTAGAATGGGGCGAGGTCCTATCTAGCTTGCCACGCCCCTCTTCATTGTTGTTGTTGCCGCTTCCGTTGCAAGGGGGTGTCCTAGGTCTGCCATGCTTCCGGTCCGCTGCCCCCACCTCGCGCCGCCGCGGCTCGGCGTCTCATCTCGCATCCGGGGTCCTCCTCTCATCCCCCTGCGTCCCGTCTCGCGGTCCCCTGGTGAACCGGGTATCTGGATCGTCTATACATTAACCACCTTTAAACTCGTGATGCCTGATTCCGTGAGGTCGTTCAGATATCCCTCCCTCGCGAAGACAACCTCGCCCATGATCCCGTGGCGCGACTCTTCAGATGCCGGCAGCCCGCCACGTAGAAAAAAACAAACACTCATCGTTCAAACCTTTGTGCCTGCCTCATCACTTGACCTTGCCCATGATGGTCTCGGGGCCGCGGACGACGTCGAGCGACGCGGCGCGCGCCTTGACGGCGTTGAGCATGCTCCTCTCAAAGTCGTCGCGCGACCGCAACACGGCCTCGACCCAGCTGATCTGCAGGTCCCAGTAGGCCGTCTTGAAGCCCTCAAACGTGTCGGGGATGGCGTCCTTGTCGACGGTGAGCAGCTGTAGAAAGTACTCGGTGACGCGCCACGTCTGCTTGACCGTGTTGCCGACGTCCGGGTTCGGCAGGGCGGCAAAGTACTCGAACGCCGTCGAGATGTCGTTGAAGAGCTTGTCCTGGACGGGGTCGGCGCGGCGGAACTTTGCGCCCTTGTTGCGCACCGACGAGAGGTAGCGGATGAGCAGCTCGTCGGCAAAGATCTCGGTGAAGATGTCGACGAGCGAGTGGTGCAGGACCTGGCGGTAGTCGCCGACGTACTCCTCAAACGTCACCACCATCTGCTTCATGGCCGTGCTCGCGTACCACTTGGGCGTGAAGAACTCGGGCATGACCGTCTTGAAGTCGACCGAGAAGATGAGCTGCACAAACTTTGTGATGCACCACGTGCTGAAGTCGATGTAGGCGTCGCGCAGCAGCTCCACCTCGCCCTCGGCCCGCTCCATGTACGCCGGCGAGACGAGCGGCTCAAACTTTTGCTTAAAGTTGGACAGGTACCCGAACCGGTTCTCGTCCTCGTTGTCGTCGACGCACGCAATCTGGTCGTTGGCCGTCGCGACGAGCCAGTCCTGCAGCGGCTGGAACCCCTCGAGCTCCGGGATCTTGCCCGTCTCGAACTTGGTGGCCTCCTCGTCGAGCATCCTCTGCCACGACTGCTGCCGGCCCCGCAGCCGCAGGAACATGGCGTCGATGACGCCCTCGATCACGTCGATGCGCTTCGAGTTGGCGGCGGCGTCGATCTGCTCGCGCATCATCCGCCACATGTCGACGAGGTTCCGCGACCGGAAGTACCCGTACTCGTCCTGGTCCAGGTTGGAGCCCTCGACGTTGCGCTCCGCAAAGTCCTTTTGCTCGGCGTTGAAGATGCGCTCGATCCACTCGTCGAGGAACTTGATGATGAGCTGGCGGAAGTCGCGGACCAGCTCCGTCTCCCGCGAGTCAATGACGTGGGGCGTGAGGTCCTCCTGCTTGAAGCCCAGCTTCTTCATCTTCTTGTAGTACCGCTCGGGCCAGTTGATGATCTCCAGCGTATTGGCCGACGCCGAGTCCGGGTCGTCGATCATGCCGACGAGGAAATCGTGCATCGTCTGGTGGTAGATGTCGCCGTACGTCTTGAGTATCTTCCACTTCTTGGGCATCAGGGGCGTCATGCCCATCTTGACGGCGTTGAGGTCGTTGAAGTACCATTTCAGGATCTTGTCCAGCGCCGAGGGGTCGTCGAGGAACTCGCCCCTGGCCTCAGCGAACTGGCCCTCGACGCTGATCTTGATGGCCTGGGTGAACTTGTCCTTGTACCCCCGCACCTTCTTGGCGCCGTCCGTGATGCTCTGGAACCGCGTCGCCATCTCCTTGTGGTCCTTGAGCGCCTCCTGCAGCGCCAGCACCCGCTGGTCGCTCTTCTCCTCGGCCTCGATGACGACGGCGAAGCGCACCACCAGGCCGTTGTTGTCGTTGACCACGAGGTTGATCAGGTTCAGCGCCAGGATGCCAATGTGCTCATCGAACCAGTCAATCATGGTATCCAGCCTCTGGAAGTAGTCCTCGAGCGTCGACTCCAGGCTGGGGTCCTCGGCCCTCTGGATCTGCTCCATGGCGTCGTCGCGGATGTTTCTCAGCTGCGTCAGCTCGTAGTGGATCGGCAGCAGGTTGGGCATGTTCTCCTTGTCCTCCTCGTCCTCGGCCAGCATCCGCTCGACAATGGCCAGGCGCTCGTTGAAGGTCTCGAGGTTCTTGCGCATGGCCTCGACGGCGCCAAAGTTGCGGTGGGCCTGCGAGACGAGGTTGATGCTGTTGAAGTCCTTGATCATGTTCTGCGACTCGGAGCACAGCCGGTCGATCTTGATCATCTCCTCCTTGATGAGCTGGACCGTCTTCTGGCCGTCCGTCAGGCCCGTCATGCCCGACTGCGTCGTCTCGAGCTGCTCGCGTAGGCCGCTGCGGAGCTGGGAGTCGACGGCGGTCTTCTTGCGGGAGAACTCCTGCTTCAGGCCGGCGATCTTGTCGAGGTCGTCGGGGTGGCGGAGGAGCTCCGCGAGCTTGGGTACCGGCGCATCCATGGCGGGCTGGGCTGGGCTGGGGGGGTAGCTGGAGCTGCTGAGCTGGCCAGCCGTCGTGAGGCTCAATTAAGGATGTCGTCAATCGGTGGGATGGTCGGTCTATCGGTCGGTAAGGGTCTCGTCTGCACGTGCAGTAGTGAGCATGGGGCGTACTTGCGGCGGTGTCGTTAAATCATATCGTGGGTAAAGCGGATGTTGGGTTCGGAGGTCATCGCATTGCGTGCCGCGACTTGGTTTCGTGTACCTTACATGGGTGTTACCTCGATGCTTAATGGCGGCGGGAGTGCAGGGCGAGAAAGGGAGAGCCGGGGTGTGTGCATGGGCCAGTGAGGGTGCAGCAGTGTTCGGTCAGTGCACCTGCTGTCGAGCTCTACAGCAGTCTAGTGGCGGGGCTTCCGCACCTGGCCGGATGCCAATTGGGATTATCTGTACATAACAAGGGCCCTTTCCATCAACTCTGATAATGGGCGACTCACGCTGGTACCTGGTTTGAGTGCAAGTAAGCAAATCTCATGGTATCTCATTCACATAATCTATATATGCCCTTATCTTGATGCCTCCAACCCAGAGGAAATGCCCATCCGCTCAATGCCAAATGATACATGATGCAAAACAACCCATGGAAACAGACGATGCCAAACCACGGCCACTTTACTCCACCATGGTCTTTCCAATCTCACTCTGCCAGCCCTCAGCCCGCTCGAATCCGTTCGAGTGGGTCTGGTAGTCCATCAACGCCTGGTACACCTCGGCCTTGGAGCTCAGCACGAACGGCCCGTACTGCACGACCTCCTGGTCGAGGGGCGTGCCGGCAATGAGCACGAGGCGGGCGTCCTTGTCCGCGCCGGCGTCGACCTCGATGTTGACGATCTCGCCCTCCTCCTCAAACACGACGTTGTGGAACTCGTCCACGACCCGCTGCTGCGACCCCGTGCCGAAGATGGCTTGTCCCTCGAGCGTGTACGCAAAGGCGTTCCACCCCTTGGGCACCGGCTGCGCGATCTTGCCGCCGGGCTTGATCTGGATGTCGAGGATCCACACAGGGGTGTAGGCCAGGTCGCGCACCGAGTCGACGCCGTGGCTCTGACCCGAGATGACCTTGACGTGGACCTTGCCGCCGTCGACGTCGACCGTGGGGATCTCCTTGGCCCGCAGGTCGCGGTACCGCGGCTCGCAGGACTTGAGGTGCTTGGGCAGGTCGACCCAGAGCTGGAGGCCGACGTTGGCGCTGCCGTCTGGGTTCTGCTTGGGCATCTCGGCGTGCATGATGCCGCGGCCCGCCGTCATGAACTGCAGGTCGCCGGCCTCGATGGTGCCCTTGTTGCCGGCGAAGTCCTCGTGGTCCACCCCGCCGTGCAGGAGGTAGGTGATGGTCTCCTGGCCCCTGTGCGGGTGGTCGGGGAAGCCGGAGCCGGGCGAGATGCGGAAGTGGTCTGCGGGTGCATGTTAGCAATCTTGGTTCCTGGCTGCGTCAACAAACGGGCGAGGGATAACTCACCAAGCATCAAAAAGGGTGAAAAGTTCTTGAGCTGAGGGGTTCCGATGGAACGGCGCACGCGGGCTCCAGCGCCCTCGGCCTGCTCGACGGCCAGGAAGACCTTGCGAATTGCGCGAGGGACAGACATGTCGGTGGCGTACAGATGGTCGTCCGCTTGGTTTTGCTGCTTGGTCTGGATCTCCCCGTAGAGTTGAAAAAGCTGTTCGTGGTCGTGACGGCCAAGTCGAAGATCTGCTGTCTGAATAGGACGATGGATGCGATTCCCACGATGATGGACAGTAGCAGCGAGAGAGACTTCATTGATGAGGGGCGGGCGGCTAGGGGCACTATTTGTACGCAAGTCGTTCCGTCAATGAGTGAGGTGAGTGAGTGAGTGGGAGAGAAGGTGGGAAGGGAATGAGGTTTCTAGAACCCGGACGTTGCAATTGACTAATTCGCTAGAAATACAACTGTCGTTCTGGCTCGCTCCACAAGGCAACTACCGGTACTACACTCCAAGGGCGAGAAGACGGGAACATTGTCGTGAGAGCGCTCGCCTCATGCGCTCCTCTGGTAAGCAGCGCTGCATTAGTCAATTTTACATCAGCATCCTCAAAGCAGGGTCTGCCGACGTCCTCTCGGGGCCCCGTGCTGGGCCACACCTCCAGCCACTCAAGGTCCGAGGAACCTCCTTGGATACCCCGTTACCTCAGCATCAGCAACGGGCTGGAGAATTGGTCAAACTCACCCCCCGCTTTGCCCGCCGCGCGCCAGCAAAGGCCGCAAACAGCGCTGGCGTGCCGTGGCGCCCCCATGCTGACACAGCGAGTAGTAAGGGGGTTCAGTCCTTCAACTGCATATGGATTGGATTGGCCGCCCGGTCGTAGTGGCCAATGGCCTCACACCATGAAGCCGCCAATCAGCAGCCGGCGACCTTTCCCCAGTTTTGTTCTCTCCTTTTAGCTTTCCTCCTCCTCCTCTCCTCCTCTCCTCCTACTCCCGCTCAGTTGATCTGATCTAGAACACTGTTCTGATAGAGTTGCTATAAACCTCCTCCGTTCAATGGGGAGGGGCCGTCGTTGAGTTTGGGCACTTGGGTAGGAAACCGTCTCCCCAATCCGCGATGCCTTGATGCCTCCGTCTCTTCTGCCTCATGCTGGATGTGCTGTGCTATGCTGTGCTGCCTCGGTCGACTCTCTGATCTGTGCGTGATTCGTGCCAGCTGTCAACGCAAAGTGCATCCGGTGATCTGGGCGAGCAGGCTGAACCCTCCAACGAGCTAGGGAGTTTCACATGGGAGTTACGTCACATACAATAACGAGCTTCGCAAAGAAACACGAGTATCTATTAGATTTTGATCCCTATCACAAACGTCCGATACCAACTCCAGTTCCAGCGAAACTTGTCCCTCCGTGTAAGAGCGGCGCCCGTCCGATGACCCGGGGCTCACGCCCCTTCCTTGGCCATTATAGTAGACCGTCAGGGAGCATGGGGCGTCTTGGCGAGGCTCGTCTCACCAGCAGTGACAGTCCCAACTCGAATGCCCCCGGAAGGGAGGACCGGAGCGGCGCACTAGATACCTTTCTCTCGTACACCACCAATAATTGAAATAGACATAGAAAATAACACACAACACACAAACAGTACATAAAAACCCTTTATCCGAGGTATAAGTTCCGTTCCGTTGCTGTATGTCGTTGAAGCGTCCACCATCGTGATTGCGGCCCAAGAACCCAAGGATAGTTCAAGAATGGCCGCCGGGGGGTTAAGGGTATATGAAATGGAGGGAGGGAGGAGGAGGGGGAAAGATCAGTAGTCGGGCTGTACGAGTACGGAACCGTGAGCACGCCTAGTTGTTGATCTTCTCGTTGACGGCCTCCTTGGTCTCCTCCTTCTTGTAGTGGATGACGTCGCCGACCCAGACGATGAGTTCGCTGGCGGTGATGAGGGTGGTGCTCACGACGGCCTTGCCGAGGGCGACAACATTGTCGCTGCCAATCTTCTTCTTCTCTTGGCTGTACGTCTTCAGAACGTGGTCCTTGGCCTCGAAGCTTGTGCGGAAGGGAAGGGCGATGATGCCCTTGGCGCCGGCATAGAGCTCCTCGGTGGGCTTCTTGACGACGGGGAAGCGCTCGTCAACCGCCGACAGGGCCTGGTCGCCGAGGTTGTCTGCCTTCTCGGCATAGGGGCGCAGGTAGCTCCAGGGGCGAGCAAAGAAAGGTAGCAGGGGCTCGGCGAAGGTCTTGTAAGCAGATTCGCTGATGGCCAGAGACTTCTTGCCGACGGGGTTGTTCCTGAAGGTAACGACGCCGTCGTGTACCGCAGGGTAATCCAGCAGATGCTGCATTGATAGGTCAGCCACGTGAACGATGGGCGCGGCAACGAGATGCATGAATAAGTGTCCTTACCTGAATGGCAACCGAGTTCACGCTCGGGAGGTCGCCGTTGACTTGGGCCATTTTGGGCATTTAGAAAGAAGCGAGGGGTTGATTGGGAGCTTGGTAGTGTTGATTCGTCGAAGCGCGCAGGCCCGGCGAAGTCTGGTCGTACGTTGTTGAGCTTCGGTGCGAGGCTCAAGAGTGAGATCTCGTGAGAGATTTAGAGCAGCAAGGAGGAGCTGTAGGGTTGGGGATCGGGTCAGATGATGTCCGCGTCAAGACAGGCTTCTTGGTCGGTGAGTGAGTGAGTGAGTCGCGGTGATGTAGGGTAGAGGTGAGGTTTGAGGAGTAAAGAGGTGGATGTTTTGACGGAAAGGTTGGAAAAGGGAAAGGATGGGAAGAAAGTTTTTGGAGGGGGCGGGCAGGGAGTAAGTGAGTGGGAAGGAGAAGGAGAAAGGCATCGGAGGGAGGGCGAGGCGAGGCAAAGCTAAAAGGGAGGGAGACTTACGGGAGGCAGTTGGAGCAGGAGTGGCCAAGTGTGTGAGCGTGTGAGGTGAGGAGAGGAGTGACGGAAGAGAGGCGGCTGGAACGGAGACGACCGTGTTATGCAATGGATGCAGAGGGTGATGACGAGGTTGACGCCACAGGCGGGCATGGACTGAAATGAAAGTATTTATCTACCAGCACCAGACCAGACCAGACTAGGTGGACAGGAGGGCGAGAGGGAAAGGGACAGGGAAAAAAAAAAGATACGTGGTGGGCTAAGGTGAGTTGCCATGAACCCCTTAGGATGCGAGACTGGACTACCTACTAGCCAGGCCAGATCAGATTAGCATGTGCTTCAGACATTCCCAAGTCGCAATGCGAGGACAGGGACGCGCAGGAATGCCGTGGTGGCGGGTCCTGCCCAAGTATCCCTACCAACGAGGTACATGCGCCACATGCCAATGGAGGGGACGTCGTTTTGGCGCTTCTGCTCCTGCGCTGCCCTCCTGCCTCTACTTGTTGCTTGCTGCTTGTCAAGCGATGGTGCTTCGCTTCTGCTGCTCTGCTGCTTGCTTCCTCTCGACGGGCTAGGTATTCCTCTGCAGCGATTGGATATGGCCAAGAAACCGTATCCCCTGGCCTTTTTTTCTTCCTTTTTTTTTTGTTTGTCAACCTCTCTCCCTCCACCTCCCTCTCTCTAAATGGGGTTTCCTCTCGTCTCGACTCTGTGGTAGTCGGTGGTTTAAGCCACATGCAATGGCACCACCGGGTTTTCTTTTGGGTTTTCCTGCTGACGGCAGCTCCCCACATCCCCACCCCTGTCCCGCCGCTTCATGGGCAGCAGGACGAGCAAGAGCGTGTGCACTGGTTCCGTGCAAGCATTCGTTGAACCGGGATAGGTTTCGGGAGCGAGCCGGCGACAGGAAAAGCAGTGCCTAGATAATGGGCTGGGCCAAAGTGTGACAGCCGAGTGAACACGGCAAGGTGAGAGGAGGAGGAGCAGTGCTCCGTCCAGTGTCAATAGTATCAGCAGCTCGTGGGCTCGCAACAGCAGGCAGGGAACCTGGGCAGAAAAGTGGCAGCAGCCGTAGCTTGCATGCACCCCTATCGTCATCCTGGCACGTTGACATGTGAAAGTGGTACAGTCGCCCCGCCATGCGCGTCGAGGTGGACTATCGCGCTCGAGTCGGCGAGGAATAAGAGATGAAAAAGAGAGAGATAAAAACAGAACAGGACGAAAAAAAGAGGAGCCCCCGGATGACGTCCGGAGCAGGTTTCCCAAGCAATTTCCCCCTCGTGACAGTGGTTTGACAAATTACTCGATGCCACAAAAGATGCAATCCTCCGTGCTCGGGTTGTTCTCCGCACAAGGTCGCTCGCTCATGGGCCGTGGATCAAAGTGAGGTGGAAATGGTGCTGTAGCTCCCCAACGCCCCTAGAGGCATGTGGTCAGCACGGGCGCGACACACAGAGCGAGCAGGATGAGGGGGGAGGGACGGCCCTTTCCCTGCCCTGTGTTCGTTGGACAATTGATCCCAATCAGACAAACCATTCATTGCGGCTTCTCTTCTTGCTTGACTGTCACTGCCACTCACTGCCACTGTCACTCCTTCGCGCCTCTTCCACATCCTGTCCACGGCACGCAAAAGCACGTCCAAGTACGCACGGCGCTTTCCTGCATGCTGGCCGGGCCGTCATTATGTCATCATAAGCGATGGTGCAAGGCAAGCACGTCCCAAAGTGATGGGCTGGGAGCAAACACACAGCAACCCAAAGCAACACTGGAGGGGCAAGGGAGCTAGCTGTACTGTGCTGGTTGGCCGAGTCGCCGCTCAACACGTATGCATACCTTATCTGACAATTTTGGCTGGGCACGCCGCTGATCAGCGGCCCGGAGGACGGGTACATCAACTACCTGCCCTGCCCTGCCCTCCCAGGTGTGGGAGTCGGATGATCCATGGGGCGCGCATGTGGAATGAGAGCTCAGAGCCGGCGGCTCTCCTTTGATACGACCTGGCCAAATTGGATCTCTGTGACCGGGCGAAACCAACACCGCACTTTCCTCCCCTCCCCTCCTATCCCCTCCCCCTTCCCCCTTCGCTTCCTGCTACTACCTGCGCCTGCCTACCTCGATGAGAAAGGTATGTAGTCGCGGTGATTGAGAAGCAGCGCTAGGCCGGGCAGGGAGATGAGGTGCGAGGAAAGTAAGCCGTCTCGAGCATAGGCAGGAAAAGACTACCGTCGCAGGAGACGCACATCATTACCCTCCACCCAAGTCCCCTCCGCAGGGAGGTGCCTTGCCGCGACCCAATTGGCCCGGGGCCCTGCCCCGAGCTTATCGCTAAACATCCTCCTCCAAACCTTATCACGGGAAGCTCCCAAGCCAACAATTGCCGCGGCCTGCACTACGCAGCAAATAGCGCGAGACTTGGAGCTCTCGATGGCGCGAGCTCCCTCACCAACCCCAAACCGGCTGCGATCCTCGAGGCCTTTGTACCGCGCAGGCCAAGGTACCTGGACCTTGGTGGTCCTCTTGGCTGAGCCTTGCTGTAGCGCTCTGATGCGATGCGATGCTACCTACACGCGTCCGGCCTTCACAAGTTCAGCCCAGTGTGCTTCAGATGAGAGGGGCCTTAGCGTTTCCTCCCTTCCCCGGTCCTGATTCTTGCTGCTGATTGCAGCATTGGAGAAAGTCGGGCCATGGCGCCATTGCTGTTTCCTCCCTTGGATCTGGGCTGCCACCGTCAACACGGCTGAGGGCCGCCATACCAACTTAGCCTTGCCGCCGGCCAGATATAATATGACCCGTGAATGCGCCAGGCAATCCGTCTCAATCTCTCATCTTCGGCGTAGCTCATGTCAATCCAACTCCCCCTGACTCCTGAGCTCCCCCCTCCATATGGGCCGACCTTTCCTCGGAATGGGGAGCTCGGGCTCTCGCCCCTGACGTACCTGTACGCTGCTGCCGCGGCTCTCGTCGTTCACGATACCCGTTTTCGTATGACTTTGTCAGTGGTATTGATCCATGATACCTCGGGAGCCAAGCAAGCAAACAGCAAGGGCCCTGACGAAGAACCCACCCGCGTCGCCACTCACTCCGAGCTGTACCTGACCAGTCGCCTGCGCGGCGACCCGCGACCTCGTCTTTCCCACCCGCAACCTCGCAAACGAGTGGTCCTGGCTCGTCCTGGTCCTGTCGGGCACGATAATCGTCGGACAATTCAACGTGGTAGCGGCACTTTTTCTGTGCGAACCCTTGTCCCCTGACTGCGTTCTGGCGTCCCCGGCTCCACCCTCACCAGCCACATCTGCCCACATTCACATGTCAGACAATGTCTCACTCTACCTGCAAGGACTTCCTCAACGTTGAGACCTCCTCCTATCCCCTCTCCTTCTCCCCCCAATCTCTCGCGTGCCACTGATCTCACCAGCGTGTAGCCTGCAGATGGCATGTCTCTTCGCCCAACCGGCACATTGTCTTCATTGGAAGGCAAGCCTCTGCCGCTGCCGGACTGGTTTCTTCGGTTTTCTTTCGGGGCCCCAAGATGGCGCGATGCGTCATTGCATATCGTGTACGCAACCGCAATTTCCGTCCAGAGGTCTGCGACATATCGTCATGATGCCCGCCGACGACACTGGCGAGCCGGTGAGGAAATTGACGAGCTAGTGACTTTTGCGAGACACACACACACACACACCACCACCACCACCACCAAATGGGCGGAGTTCCCTCCCCGGCCGCCCCGTCCATCCATCCATCCATCCCTTGGGGAATTGGGAAGCAAATGGCCCAGCACGACACCACCGGTAGGGCACGGGTGTGGATGCCCCTGCGTCCTGCGTGAGAACTCAGCAAAACGCGAGGTGTGCCATCCATCCCGCGGGGTTTTTTTGTTGGAACTTTGGAACCGGTGGTTGCTTCTTCTGCGGCCCAAGGCCACCTCACCCGTTGACGGATGGAAACACGGCACTTTTCGAGGCTTGACCGGATCGTCTGATTGGCTCGCCATAGCCGAGAGCCCGAGATCTTGGCCGCCGCGTCCGTCGAATGGGGTAAGTAACGTTCCGGCCGGGCGTATTCGCAGTTCCAGTTCTCCCGCCGTGCGGCTCGGGTAAAGCGGGACCGCAACCGGGGTTTCTTAGCCGGCGCCGGACGCGGCATCCCTACCTGTCTTCCGTATCCGAGCCGTGCATCACCGGACGTCTCCGGAGGTGTGGGTCAAATTCGGACAAAGAATTCACAATCACGTATTTTTCCACCATGGCGAGGAAGGCAGAGGTCATCCCTCTCATTGAGAGCGTTTGCACGACCTAGTTGAGCTTGACAACGTTCTGGGTGATAGGGCACGCTGGACGCCGGAGGGTTAGGAATCAGCAGCCTCCGCTGCGGCTCCCAGAGCGAATCAGCCTCGACGAAGCTTGCATGCGTCTTCTCAAGGCTTCATTGGGCCACGAATGCCATACAAGCCCTTTGATGTCCCTCAAGATCCTTCTGTTCAGTCAAGATCCCTTGACCTGAGTGACTCCTGTATCCCCACAACCCGTGTAGATCTCTCCGCCTGACAAGATACGTCCAGCCCGCCAAAGACGTACCC